GTTGTTCATTGCAGGTAGCTGTATACAGTTTAAGCACAACTTCCACAAGCTTTGTTGAGTAGATCACTTTAGTGTAAAAGTCACTCTTCCTCTTCACATCACTGTTAATGTGGTGTCTCACTGAGTTTGAGTCATTTGGGGCAGCCAGTACCAGTGAAACCTTTTATTTCCCTGTTCTGCACACACCAGTATGTAATATATGCTCTTTAAAATAAAGATTCCTCAGTGGTTCTTGGATGCAAAGTTTTAGGGAAAACAATAATGATCCCATATAATTTGAATGGGTCCCTATAGATTATTTACAGATAATCAAATTATTAATAAACTATCTAGCGAAACTCAGTTGACTATATTGTTTATATATTATACTTCTAATAAAAATCGTTCTGCATAGTAGCAAAAAAAGTTATGTGACAATAGCAGAATGCTTTTTGGTGCTACATAGAACCATTTTTTAAAGGTTCTTTAAAGAACTGTATATTTATGTATTCAAATGGTTCTTTGAGTTGTCCTGGTTCTTTATGTAATCCTTTTGGCTTTACTGAAGAACCCTTGAAGAACTCCCTTTTAAGGGTGGTAGGATTAGGACCAGGGTTAAGTTTAGGATTAGATATTTGGTTGAGGTTAAGGTTAGGCTTAGGCCTAGGACCAGGTTTATGCATTAGAAAAGTCGAATTTCATTGATATTTAGTTGAATGTGTCTAGTTAGTATTCTATTTAGTTGAAAGTATATTATAGTAGGCTCTCCAAATAAAGTGTGACCCTTTTTAATTGTTTAATTGTTCTAGAGCATTTACATCATGTGAAGTTCTTTAAGCCTTGAAATAGACATTTCACAACCACACATTCCATTTATAAAGTGTTCCTTTTAAATAATCATTCATCAGTAGGATATTTAGGGAACTAAACTTGGTTCTTTTATGGCATCACTCCAAAGAATGGAGGCATCACTCCTGGTTTGGCGCTTTAAAGAGTGTAAATCAGACACTGTAATCAATAATAAAGATGTGATCATTATGTGGGTTTTATTTTTGATCCCATTTGTCAGTTTACTGTGTTTGATAATTGCAGTATTTGTTTAAATGCCTTGTTAATGCGTGCGCTATACGTCATCCATGTCATGCTTTTTATTTATTTACAACGATAAAGAATACCATAATAAATACATCTCTCCAGATGAATGAATTGCTGTCATGCAAATGTTTATTTTTATTTGTTTTTGTTTGTGTGTTTATTTTCTTGCATGTATTGACAGTAGTAATTAACTGAATGAAACCGTACTTGACCACCGGCCTCTCCACACACAGGTGCTTATTTTTCACCACTTTACTTCTCACCACACACACACACACACACACACACACACTCCCTTCAGAATATCGCTGATAGGATAAACCAACACACACCCCGTTCACACTTTCATCAGTCCGCGCTTAACGGCGACGATTAAGGGCCAATTAAGGCGCGCGCTAGCCGGAGACCAGATGCGCGCATTGAAATCGCGCACGTGCTGCAGCGCGGGCCCGTTTCCCCAGCATAAAGCCGCTCGAAGGACCGATGCTCGCCTTTATTATAGTTTTAAAAAAAAAAACTCACATGATGAATATGCATAATACTCGCGCGATGCTGCTTGATGTCCTTTTGGCGACAGGCTCCACACCGCCATGTGCGCGCGCTCCCAAGAGCGCACGGCTTTCTGTTTGCTCCTCCACTCCTCCACTCCTCCTCTTCTCTTTCTTCTCCATTCATTCTCTCGCCCGGGCCGGTCTGAGTGGGCCAAACCTGAAGAAACCTCTATTTATTTTTTCCCCTTTTTTCTTTTTTTTTTTCTTTTTTTGTTGTTGTTTTTGGGGTTTGGTTTTGTCTCCCTCTTTCTCTCTCTCCTTCTCGCTCTCTCTCTCTCTCGCTCTCTCTCTCTCTCTTTCAAATAATCAGCTGTGTGCCAAAAGTGTCCCCCTTGTTTTTACGCGTGCCAGTCACCTGCCGTCTGCCTCGCTCCTTCCCCCTTTTCTCTTAAAAAAAAAGAAAAAGAAAAAAAAACACAAAAAAGCAGAAGCTCGCCTTTCTCTCTCCACTCCTTTTGACTTTCCGCGCTTTGGATCCCCAAGTGAGATTCAGACTGGGTACATATTGAGCCCCCCCATTGTCTTTCAAGGGCTGTACTACGCTAATTAAATTTTATCCTCCCATTAAAAGCACCACGTCTCCTCCACGCTCCCGATTCAGCTTTTTTCCAGACCAGCTCTCCTCTCTCTTTTGCTTAGGCTGACAAAAAAAGCCATCCAGTGTTCGTTGAGTCAAATGAGTTGAAAAACATTTGCAAATCTCCATTATGGTGGGATTTCTGTCCCCCTTTTTTCTCTGCGCTGCGCTAAAAGCCCCAACAGCTTTACTGCTTTGTGCCCCTGCAGCGCCATGAATGCTGAGAGCGTTACGCACGGGGAGCTCCTCTTGCTCTCCTCCTCTTTTCCCTCTATTCCTCTCCTCCTCTCTTCAGCACGCTCTCATCGACCTTACTTTTATTTCCACGACTTCATTCGCACCTGAATTTTACATTAAATGTTAATTGAAGCCTCGTTAGTGCCCAGCTGAGAGCCTCTTTCTCTCTTTGTTTGTGCGCGGTGTAACTTCTCGTGCAACTTTTTTTGTCGCAGCGTTTAAGGCTTTATAAACGATGTAAAACTTTATTTATTTGTTTAGATTCTGTTACTAGTGCTTTTATTATTTTTATTTTTATTTCTTTTCCACTTTTTTGCAAGCAGGTGCGTCTTTTAAAAGGATTTAAAAGATGTCGATTAGATCAGATGTTCATAATAAGCAATAATCGATTTTTTTTTCAGCGCTCATGTTTGAGATTTGTAAATCAATAAAAATAAAACAGGGGTGTGGATCGTGTGGTAATGGCCATGAAGTTTGTACTAAAGCAGAATAATGACATTTTAAAGCTTTCCGTTTTAGTTTTGTCTCTAAACTTGAGAGCTGAACTGCGCGTTTTTACGCATAAGTGGAGACGGTGGAAAAATTCGTTAATTAATTAATTAATTAATTAATTAATATCAGCTTAGAAATCTTTAAAAGAGCACGTTTAGTCATTTACAAATCATTTACCTCACTCACATTTTAAAAACTTTTTTCCCAGCTTTTATGACTGCGTAATCAAAACGGTGTTATTTACTAAATAACACAAACATAAATAAATAAAAACAGTAATAAACCTGGTTGCTTTACATGTAATTTCTATACTGAATTTTAACCCAATGTTATCTATTTCTTTCTATTTTCTCACCTTTTTTTCACTATGAAATAAACGACACTGCAATAAATGTTTAACTCCAATAAATATAAATCAATCTCAATGTGTGCAAATCCTCTTCACTGGGGAGGAGCGAATACTAATGGGACAAAAAAGAGAGAGAGAAACCTGAAAGGGGTTTGGGGTGAAGGCCCCGAAAAAAGCAGCTGTTGAGTCGTATAATCTTTTTTCGTGCCCTGCCACTCACCTACACTCTCTCTCTCCTGTCCTGGTCCCCTCTCTTTCCCTTTCTCTCTCTCTCTCTCTCTCTCTACATTTTTGTTTTGGCCCCCTTCCCTCCCCTTGTAGGCAGTCCAAAGAAAAGACGAGTGCATGGATGTCAAATTGGCCTCAAAAACGCCGTGAAAGATTGATTTGCAGCACTTTTCATTCAAACAACATTAGTAGGGAGAGAGTTGAGTAGGAATAAAGATGTCCTCCCTGTTGGAAAAGAAGGAGGGGGGTGCCCATTTAGGCTCAGTCCATCAACCCTGGAAAAAAAAGAAAGAAAGAAAGAAAAAGAAAGAAAGAAGAGGGAAAGACGTGGGACTATTCAAAGAAAAGCCCATATTGCCTCCTCTCACAATGCTAAAGGACTTTAAATTAATATCCATGAATATTAAATCACTTTGGCCTGAAAAGGACTGAAAGAAAGATACACTTGACCCAGACGGCTTTGCATATTACTGAGCTCGAGCACATCATTAAAACCTGGTCTCGAGGAATCGGTAACATCTAAACATCATTAAAGTCTGCTCAGTTCTGGATAGATGCTTTTAACTGCAGTATGATTAGCGCGCGCTGGTAAAGATGACGCTGTTTTATATGTGCAGTATTAAGCGCAACTTGAACGCAGTTTATATCTACTGTATTAGGGCTATAATAGAACTAAAATATTGGGTTTTTTATGTTTTTTTGTTGTGAAAATGTGCCGTCATTCATTAATGTATTTTTTTATCTTTAAATATAATTATTTCCTAGAGAAATATACTTTATTTTATGAACTATGTATGCAACTTTTACGTAATATGTACTATAACAAAACATTATACATTGTAAATCAATTAGATTTACTTCTATTTTGTTTTTCTATACTCTAATTAATTCATTTATTTATGCTATTTTTTTCTTTCCTGCAGCAACGATTTCTTGTGGATTTTCTACGCTTATAAATTGATCACTTTGCCATTATAAATATTACATTTTCCTCCATTTCTTAATTTATTTATTTATTTATTCATCTGTCCATTTTTTTATACGTTTTCTGTCCAAAAACATTTACCTGGCATCCTTATTTTCTCTTAATCCATCACTCCAGCTTCGTTTTCATGCTGGGACTTTTCCCTGCCGAGAGCGTGCACGCGGGTGCGCGCGCTCCAGAGTCTTCTTATAATTATTTAAGCCAGAACGTGTTGGAACACTAACACCCCCTCCACCCCAACCCCAACACACACACACACACACACACACACACACACACACTCCATCCTACCTACACATACAACCCCCCACCCCTCCACGAGTGGCCACTCAATAAAGAGCGTCTCTCTCTCTCCCTCTCTCTCTCTCTCTCTCTCTCTCTCTGTCCGTTAGAACAAGTGTCTCGCACACAAGGGGAGCCTCATTAATAACTAATGACCGCACGTTGGACCTCACGCATATAAAGCCCACCGGGACCCTGCGAGGGCGACACATTTCCAAACTCCCTCGCGCACCCACCACCACGAGAGCGCCCACCAATCGCCTCCAAACTGCCTTTGCAGCCTCGTAACTCCAGACTCTGCCTCCTCGCCCGCAGACCGCAGTCGAGTCCTCGCTCTGCCATCATAAGGACGCTCTTCCATCAGAGAGAGGACGCGATGGGCTCTGTGCTGCCCGCTGAAGCGCTGGCCCTCAAGGCTGGACTCAAGCAGCAGAGCCTGGCCCTGTCCGACATCATCACCTCGGACATCCTGCACAGCTTCCTGTACGGCAGGTGGAGGAGCGTGCTGGGGGAGCAGCTGTATGAGGAGAAGAGCAGCACGGTCAGCCCCAAAACAGCCTTCACCGCGGAGGTGCTGGCGCAGTCCTTCTCCGGAGGTGAGCTTCCAGAAACGCTCCTGCACTTCCTCTCACTTTAGTTCATTTTGATAGTTGAAATTTAGCCTGTGTGCTTTTTAAAGCACTGCTCTCGTTTGTCTAATCTAGTTTAGTTTGTTAGTCTTAACATACACCCTTAAAAAAGATGGTTCTTCAAGGGATCTTTAGTTAAGAAATGGTTCTATTTAGAACCATGAACACTGAAAGAAGCCTTTGCATGATTGCATCGTGAAAGGGTTCCTCAGATTGATGGAGAATGTGCTGTGGATGGTGCTACATAGAACCTTTTTGAAAAGGGTTCTATATAGCACCAAAAGAGGTTCTTCTAATGTAAAAAGCTTGACATCGTACTGATGGAATAACCATTTTTGGTGCTATATAGAACCCTTTCACGATGCAAAGAACACTTTAATCATGCAAATGGTTCTTTAAGTGTTCATGGTTCTATATAGAACCATTTTATCTACTAAAACCCCTTAAAGAATCATCTTTTAAGAGACTAGTTTGCTTTGATTTACTTTAGTTTGTAAGCTCTTTCACATTCTTTCATTTAGTTTCATTTATGTTGTTTAACTCTCTTTTATTTAGTTTGTTCAGTTTTACAAGATATAGTTCGGTTGTTTTTTTTTATTTTTTTAAGTTTTGTAGTTCTGTTTAGTTTAGTCTCTTAAACATCGTTTTTCTCTAGTTTTATTTATTTGTCAGTTGTTAAAAAGCATTGTTTAACATTAAAACAAAAGCTTTTAAAAGTAAGAACTCAAAAGCATTATTTTTCTTAAAATAAACATTACTTTAAAGTGTAATTTTGTTTGTTTGTAAGCTTTTCAAACTGCTTTTTATTTGAGTTTTTAAAAGGGCTGTTTTAACTTTGTTTTGGTTTAATTTGTTATCTCAAATATTCACTACAGCACAGCTGAAACACGTAAATCTATTGTATCTAGTTCATGTGAAGCTCCCGTGCTTTCTGTGGAACTGGACTTTTTAATCTGATTTAATTCTTACAAACTAAATCAAACTGGACTAAACTAATTCAAGCTACTATCAGAACTGGTGTTTTTAAGTTTGATCAATTTTTTGACACAGCAAAATCAGTGTTGAATGACAGTGTCCACTTGGACGTATTTGAACAGTGTAGAGTTTCATTCAACTGAGGTAGAAAGAAACGAACCCATCTAGAACAATTATTTAAAAAGCTTCTCTGAACTCCAGTTTGTTCAATGTGTATCACTATGCGCCTCCATAAAAGCCACGCCGTTCTGTCAAACTGGATTTCAGGGCTTCGTCTGGTGTTGGAGCCTAACAGGAGCTGACTTAAATAAGGCTATTAAATTCATACGTTTGCAATGAGAGCAGCACTACAGACAGAGAAAAGCTCTATTCTTCACGATACCCCTCATTCATGAAGCCACGGACAGCCTTTTCTTTCTTTCAGCAGCCTTTAAAGTTTGCTGTCCCGCCGTTACTGTACCGTGAAGACTAATTCTGTTGCTATTCACACCATGTCACACCGCATCTAATCTCCTTTCCATTTTTTTATCGGTCTGAAATTCCTTAGCCATCTTTCTCTTTAAAAAAAAAAGCCCTCATTGCTTCCAGTGCAAATTCATTGCTCCAAACTTCTTTAAAGGCTAAATGAGTGTGGAATGAGCCATTGCTTTGAGAGCATGTCTGACCCGTCCCATTCAGGCCATAACTAATCGCTCCTTTCACTGCCTTAAAGGGGTATTTAACATTCATTTGGCAGGGCGCGAGGCTTTCGGGCTCCCGTTGCTGCTGCATAGGCGTGTAAAACGCGTTTAGACACCAATGTGCGCTAAAACTTATACATTCAAAGGAATTCATGAGAGGATTTGCGTTTGTACACCTTCAGTGAGTTGAGTGATCGCATGTTCTTGCACATATATCGCTGTTTTATTGGCACAAATTTGTTTGGTTTTATTGCTTTTATTTCAGCATTTGTGTTCATTCACACTGTTTTTTAAAACAAAGTCCCTCGCGCATCTGCAAAAAGTGCTAAAAGAAGGGTTCCTTGGAGCGATGCTTTGTTCCTTATAGAACCATTCAGTGGGTGATTCTTCAAAGAACCATTTTTGTAGCGTGACAGGAAAGTGTGGACCTTTTAAAAGTTTATAGAGCTTCCATATCACCGTACGTCCAAGCCTAGAACCATTAGGAACCTTTATTTTTCATAAACTTGTATATGAACTCACCAAATCACACTCTTCCTCTTCTTCTTTTGCAGAGGTTCAGAAGCTCTCGAGCCTGGTGCTGCCCAGCGAGGTGATCATCGCGCAGAGCTCCATCCCTGGAGAAGGTCTGGGCATCTTCTCCAAGACGTGGATCAAAGCGGGCACGGAGATGGGCCCCTTCACCGGCAGGGTCATCAGCCCCGAGCACGTGGACCTCTTCAAGAACAACAACCTCATGTGGGAGGTGAGCGCAGCGCAGTGCAGCAGGTGTCCGGAGCGCGCAGCGGAACAGTGCGCTCATGGCTCTGTGTGGTGCCTCGATATCAGGCTAACTCGGGCTGTTGGTTCTTCTAGGTCTTTAACGAGGACGGGACGGTGCGCTACTTCATCGACGCCAGTCAGGAAGACCACCGCAGCTGGATGACCTACATCAAATGCGCTCGCAATGAGCAGGAGCAGAACTTGGAGGTCGTGCAGATTGGAAGCAGCATATTCTACAAAGCTGTAGAGGTACGTTTGAAAACAACAGCATCAACAATAATAATGATAACAATCTTGATATACTCTCCTAAAAAGGCTAAATGTCCTGGCTCCAGTTACTTTTCTCGTTCGAAAAGTATGAAAATATACAAATATGCACCTTTTCCCTTGAAAAGAGAAGATAAAGTAAACTTTACACATTGTTGCACCCATAAAATAGAGTTTTTGGAAACTTTTCTAGTAAAAGCAATGGTTGTATGCAGAACAATGATTCAAAGTAGCATTTGAAGTACCATATATATAGGTTCTTCCATATATATATATATATATATATATATATATGCATGTAAGAACCTTTTTAAAAAATGGTTCTATGTAGCACCAAAAAGAGTGCTACAAGTCACTAGAACAGTATGAATTGTTCCTTTTTGCACCTTTTTCCAACAGTGTAATCATGCTACTAATAAGATAAGGATGCAGATGGGTTTGCAACATCTGCACCAACATCTGTCACGTTTTAAAGAACTCTGAAAAATCATTTTTTTAATTTGTTCTCCTCTTTAGACCATACCCCCAGATCAGGAGTTGTTGGTGTGGTATGGAAATTCCCACAATACGTTTCTGGGCATTCCTGGGGTTCCTGGCACTGAAGAAGAACATCAGAAGAAGCATAAGAATGGTAAGATGCTTCAGGGTTGCCTCAGGCCTGATGACTGTTTACTGGGCCAAGAAAAGCACACAGATGTTTCTTACAGCGCCTCCATGTGACAGTAAACAAGACCCTCTGGCCTTCTTCAGATCTTCTGAAGTACTTTAGTAGCTGGTCATGGCGTCTGCTCTGTCATGTGGTGTCGTTATCAACACTGTAAAGCCAAATGTTTAGCATCTAAACAACAATTTGTAACACTGGATGAGAGCATCCATGCTAATTCTTTTAAAATGAAAAGCAGCTGACCTCTTCCTTCTCTCTCTGCTCTCCTCCCAGAAGACTTCCACGTGTGCGACACGTCGTCCTCGAGCGCGTCGCTGGCCACCGCGGGGCGCATGCGCTGCGTCATCTGCCACCGCGGCTTCAACTCGCGCAGCAACCTGCGCTCGCACATGCGCATCCACACGCTGGACAAGCCCTTCGTGTGCCGCTTCTGCAACCGCCGCTTCAGCCAATCGTCCACGTTGCGCAACCACGTGCGCCTGCACACGGGCGAGCGCCCGTACAAGTGCCACGTGTGCCAGAGCGCCTACTCGCAGTTGGCCGGCCTGCGCGCGCACCAGAAGAGCGCGCGCCACCGGCCGCCCAGTTCAGGGCCCGTGGTGGGGCTCCAGACGCCCTCGCCTCCTCCTCCTCCTCCTCCTCAGTTGGCTGCGGTGCCCCATCCGGCCTCGCTGGTGCACCATATCCCCACCATGGTGCTGTGAACTCTGGCCACGGTGCTGACCACCAGGTTTAGAACCTTTACAAGCCCCAGTAGAGCGCTCAGCGGGGCGCGGCTAATTGCTAGCGCGCCTCAACACGTTGGCATTGTGTCTATGGATGCTGTTTGGTGGCTCGCGGGCTTGGCAGCGTGTTGCTCGGTGGCTATGAAGGTAGACTAACTTAATGCCCAGAGAATACAGATTGTGCCAATATTATCCAAAGCCCCAACATGTGTGGCGCACTGGCCAAAACGTCGTGACTGACCACGGTCTCATTAGCGAAGCGAGCGCCAGAGGGCAGCCTCTGCTCTGTATGGTCAAGCTGAACGTTCTCCAGAGGCAGAAATGGCAGCGAGAGCCGAGTGGAAGCCCTGAGCTAGGACGCACTGAGGCATGACGATGCATTGAAGTTACTTCATTGAAACGTAGAGAAAAAATGTTTGCGAACGCAATAGCTACGTTAAAAAGGAGAAAAAGTTGTGTTGGCGTAATATATTTTATGCACGCAAAAATTATGCGCACATCTGAATCCAGTAAATTCAACACATCACTTTTTCAGTCTGAGTCTAAAAGTGGTGCACTGAAGTTCATTCAATCGCGCGCATAATTTCCCAATTGAATAAAAAATATTCATTTATTGCACAACCAATTATCCAAAGTGAGTAAACTCAGAGGCGACATTGCGTTGATACATTTTATTCACGTGCAAATGAAGCAAATCTGATGCATTTTCAATGCTTTGGTGTTTTTTTTTTTCTATGCTAGGCTATGTGTTATGTCTGACTCACGAAAGAGAGAGCAATGTCACGTGCGGCGCTCAAATTGTGTAACTGATTTATCTTTGCATGCACAGTTGTAACTTACACTGCAGCCTGTAAAAATTACCCACGATTAAAGCCTACGAACGTTGTTTCATATGGTCATAACAAAATCTGATGTATAAAGAACTTAATGCCCATTAAATACAGATGGAGTCAAATCCACCTAAACCCCCCAACTTGCACACTTGAAGGCGCAACAGACCTTTGGCCAAATACTGATAAGTTTTAGTGGCGCCATCTAGTGACCTGTATGTCACTCCGTCATGTCCCTAGAGAGCCCCACCCCCCTCAAAGCTTCAGAGCACAGTATTGTAAATGATCAGTGTAAGGTATGTAAAGTAATGTGAATATGATTTTAAAATTTTACTTCCACAATTTACTGAGCAGTCACTTTATTTGTGTATGTATGTAAACCTAAAGTTAAATGAGAATATTTGGCTCTATTATATTATGTATACTATGTTTGCAGAGATAAAACTCTTTGATTATTCATCTTGTATGCTAATAAATGATTACTTCCAGAAATGTTTTTTAATGCTTTCTGTCACCTGCTTTGTTAAGTTGTCTTTCTTTCTTCTTTGATAGTGTCTTTGATATGACCAAACATACAAGTTTATCTAGACTAATAAGGTAATTTCACCAAATAGAAGAGGAGAAAAGGCTTAAACAAAAAAAAAGTAGATTTTAATAAGTGAAATACTAAATTCAAGGTTATTATTAGAGATTCTGCTGTAAAAGGTGTCTTCATGTTCTGTTCTCGAACGCAGTCAATCAATACTATGTTTGTAAGTTGCCGGACAACGTCAGCAGAGGTTAGTGTGTTATGCAATGCTGATAGGCCCCAGAGTGGGCAAATTCACTTTGATGTTTGTCTCCACGAAACCACCTTCAACCCCAAATTCACTCTCTGCATTCAACACCTACCCCAGGTACAAACATATGCAAATTTAAATGACCTCGTTCAGCTTACACTGATAAAAGGCTCAGCTGACCACTGCCCTTTTTGAACACTGAACATCCCCTGCATTGCACTTGCTTAAATATTTGCAGTTCTGTAAAACAACAAATGTTGATCTGTGGATATCCCAAGCATAATGTCCAAGATTTGGACTGAAAAAATAATGAAATACCTTATTGTTAAGAGTTCTACCACCACTACTTCAACTAGTACTACCACTAGTACTACTACTTCCACTACTACTATTGCCAGTACTACTTCTACGACTACTACTACATCCACTACTAGTACTACTACCACTACTTCCAATACTACTATTACCAGTACTACTACTTCTACTACTTCCACTATTCCTTTTGCTTCCACTAATACTATGACCAGTACTGCTTCTACTGCTACTGCTACTACTACTACTACTACACCCACTACTACTGCTACTTCAACTACTACTAATACCAGTACTACTTCAACTATTACTACCACTAGTACCACTACTTCAACTACTACTATTACCAGTACTACTTCAACTACTACTATTACTGCTACTTCTACATCCACTACTATTACCAGTACTACTTCAACTACTACTATTACTAGTACTGCTACTTCAACTACTACTATTACCAGTACTACTTCTACTACTACTGCTACTACTACTGCTACTTCTACTACTACTACCTCAACTATTACTACCACTAGTACTACTACTTCAACTACTACTATTACTACGTCTACTACTGCTTCCACTACTACAGCCACTGGTACTACTACTTTAACTACTATTTCTACCGCTACTTGTATTACTGCTAAAACTTCTACTACTATTACAACTGCTTATGATAAAAAATATCATAATCAGCATCATCATCATAAAATTATTAATACAGTACTGTGCAAAGAACATTTATTTAATTTCCAGCCATTAGGTTGTCCATTTTCAGGATATTTTTCTGAGGAGATTACATAAATGAGATAATCTACTTGCATAAGAAAGAGGAAAATCAAAGGGAAATGTGGGAAAAACAGAAAACTGAGAAAAGAAAACAGAGAAAAGGAAAAGTGCAAATCAAAAAAAGAAGCTGTTGGTGTTCTCAGCAAAATGGACTGACCTAGAAACAGAAAACGTAACCAACTTCTAAGACTGAACTTGGAAGGGGTGAAAAATATCCCAGTAGATTTCTTTGAAAAACTGTCTGCAGAAAAGAGTGGAAGCTATAATAAAGGAAGACACACAAAATACTGAAAACTTTGAAGCTTCTGTGTAATGTTTGCAATAAAAGTTTTTTTTCCTGATGCTGAAAAAATGAATAATTGTACATAATAACTCTCTTGACAGGAAATTAAATAAATGCTGTCTGCTTTTTGCACAGTACTATGTATATAAATTATATTAACAATAATGTCCTTAACCTATCTAATAAAAGTAAACAACCAGTTTATTTAAAACTTTACTTTATGACCTTTACAAGTTAAGTGAAAAATGTACATATTTTCCATTAGTGAGAATTTTGGAAGGTCTATATCCTCAGTTCACCTGCATTTGTGTTACAGAAATGAGTGCTCTGACAACATTTAACTGATTTAGGGTTAATAGTGCAGACCAAGGTCCACCTTTCGTCCCTACAGCTGTGTTTTTGGGAAGCTCTTACACCATGACACACTTGAGCTGATGATTAACTGAAAGCAAGCAAAGCCATCCAGAACACATAGCTGTGAGCTCGGGCTTAGTTTTTCACTAAGTGGATCAAACAGTAAATGATGGGCCTTTTATTTTTGCTCTGTGTTATGCATGTGCTGTGGGGGGCGGAGGCTCAGGAAAGAACGTAAGTGTGTACTAAATTCTATGTACATATCGTTTAATTGCACACGACTGCAATTTAATAGCGCAAATATGGTGTGTTCAGAATGGTGGTGATAGGAACCAGATGCCTGAAAAGTCAAACTTAAAAAATCTTTCATTTAATTTGGTATTAATGTTAATTCATTGCATTTTATTAAAAAAAAATCATATTTTTGTTAGCAGTTAACGGAATCACAGTCCTAATGTCAAGACTTTACTTTGTGCAGCTGAGACATGAACACTGAACTCACATGTTTGGTGTGTTTGTTGCACTGAGACAGCATTATTGGTGCTGTTTCAAAGCAACTTACTGATATATTGGTATACTGAGAATATTGTCTGTTTTATAGGTATCTCATCACGGCACCCAAACTGTGGCGAGTTGATTCTACTGAGACCGTATTGGTGCAGTTGTTTGGCTACGACCAAGAAACCACAGTGAATCTTTACATTAAGGACTCTCTGGCCAAAGATGCCAAAATATTTGCTTCGCAGACTGTGAAGCTCAATGCCCAGAATTACTACCAAGCTGCAGCTACTCTACGGGTATCAAATCACACCAGACAACATTAATCTGTGTGAAAATATCTAATATCACTGAACCTTATACAGTCTTATCTAAACCTGTACATCATTAGCTTCAGAAATATTTAATAGACTTTCCAAGGTGCTGGAAAGGAGACTATTTAAATATTACAAAGTGCCATCTGGAAATCCATTGTTAAAACTGCATAACCCTGTGAAGTGAGCACAAAGTGTAATGTAGATTGTGTCCAATTATTTATGCTCTCTTGAAATAGAATGACTACATAAAAAACTGAGATTGGTACATAGATTACTGAATATGGTCGCAATTACCCTCAAAATAACAGAATTAACAGAACAAACATTTTGTACATTGATCGCACAGTCAGGGTTTCATTTCTCATTAAATGTTCTGTAGCAAAGAGACTAAACAAAAGCTGTGTCACTGTCCGAGTGCACTCTGAAAGGGGAATTCCTAAAGGCCAAAAACCTTTCACAAAGCTATAGTAAAATACTATCTCAAGCATTAGATGATGTATTGATATGTATTTCATGTAATCACTTTCTGCAAGGTAGCTTAGAGGCATTAAAAAGAAACCACCAAATCCACCAATTTTTCAAAATTTCATATTTATGCATATTTGCATATTTAAATCATTATTGTGTAAACAAATTCATTCAGAGGGGTTTGATGTGGAATGTTCCACTCTAGAGAAACTCACAGAGTCAGAATTGTTCACAGCAGTGGTGATAGGAACCAGACATCTGAAGAGTTTAGTGCATCTGCAAGCTACCTCACAAAGTTATTGCATGAAATGGTTACAGATATGCTACTGCCTGATGCCTAAAACATTGTTTTGTTTGTTTTTTTTTTTCAAACAAAAAAGAGCGACATGTAAGGTGTTGTGAGGCAAAACAGTCCCCAAAGTTTTACCATTAACATTATTTTACCAATATTTACCATTTTTAGAGATGAAATCTCAGAAGAAACATGTAGGTTCACTGTTCATTTTGGATAGAACACAAAAGTGTCTAAATTTGTGTTGTAGACATTAGGACCCCTGCTTCAGTCAGTTAGTTTCTCTACAAAGAAGTATTTCACATAAAACCACTCTGAACGCTTTTGTTTATAGTTTAATGACTGAACTCTGCAGAAATTTCGCAAAATCCATGGAATTCCCATTTAAATTCTTCTGATGTCTGATTCCCAACACCACGGTTGTGAGCAATTCTGAAGTAAGTTTCTCTAGGAGCGTTAAAGAAAACATTCTTGCTTTGTTTACATCATAACAATTGAATTATGCAGACATTTTGAAAAATCAGTGGAACTCCCCTTTAAAAATAAAGGTGCCATATCTGTAGCTTAACATCTTTGTATTTTACCACAGACAATGTTTCCCTGCATCTAGTAATAGAATAGAAAAGCCATTAACTCAAAACACAATTAAAATGAAGGCAGTTTTTAAAATTGTATTTATTTGTTTATGTATTTATTTGTTTCTAAGCACATAAAAAGTATCTAAATTATTATTCATGATAATCTATCAAAAAATATCTCCATTTTGCTGATTTTTATTTTTCATTTGAACATGGCGGCTGTCCATTACAGGGAAGAGAATGATTTTGCTTTCTCCTGCAAACTTACAGTTTTGCTGCTGTCCAAACAAAAATCTCCAAAATGATAACTTTACAGGAGAAGGAAAAAACATACTTTACTTATAATGTAGGTCAATGGAACCAGACCTTTTACTAGGTCATTTTGGGCCATTTTTTTTGGTCCATTCATCATGAAACTCACATATAATGTAAAGGACAACAGGCATTTTTAAATGATCTCAAACACTGAAAAACGACAAAAATAGAGATACGAGGTTTTGTTCTGACAGCAGCGACATATTTTTATCTGACAGCGATAATATGCTAGTACAAATGCAGAAGAACGTTGTAGTATTACTTTAAAGAATCATCCACTGACAGGTTCTTCAGAAAGCAGTTACTTCTTTCACATTACTCTAAAGTATGAGAACTTTTTGGAACATTTATGTCTAAGATTGCACTCACAGACTGTGCAGTATAAAATGTTTCAAGAAGAAGAGTTACTCTTGTAAGGTTATTCACTGTTTATTCATCTCAGTTAATCAAAGCTGACTCTTTGCTCTCAGATTTTCCAGGGCATCCGCAAAGAGGACACTGAAGTCTACCTAGAAGCAATGTCTGGCAGCTTCTCCACACACATAATAATACCACTCTCTAGAGAGAACGGCTTCCTCTTTATCCAGACGGACAAGCCTCTGTACACACCCGAACAGAAAGGTCAGTATGTTGTGAACTATGTGTCATGTTTGTAACTTCATATGTACATTTGAACACCATACACAATGAAGAGAGAGATGAGAGCAGAGATCATTTCATGTTTTCTCCTGTCATTGTGGTTCTGCAGTTGAGGTGCGTGTGTACTCTTTCAGTGAAGAGTTGAGGAGGTCTAATAGACCCGTCACCCTCACATTCATGGTGAGATGATCTTCACATTCAAGCCTGATATTATCAAGATCTATGTGATGGTATACACTGATTACACCTAGACAATAGTGTACCAGACATCTAGGTTCTTAAAGGTTCCTGTTTGGTTCCAATGAAGGGACAAAGGTTCTTTATAAAAAATAACTCTCACTGGCATACAGCTTTTACATTGCGTCGAAGTTCTGTAACAAAAACAGTTCTTCAAACTGTTTTAACAAAAAAAAGGACTACAAGTATTATTTTAACAGCATTTCTCCTTCTTAGAGCCTTTATTTTTAAAGAGTGATAGATAATGCACCCATGATTGTTTGTGTATTACAGGACCCTGATGGTATCAAGATTGAAATGATTGAGTTGACAGACATCAATGGTGTGAAACCACTGCTTCCACCATTTAAAATACCCCTGAAACCCAAGTAAGATACATTTTTTCGAGTACTAACATTTTTACTACAACAAGGCTCTGATTTTTCAGTTCAAAAATTCTGCATTTCAGTCACTAACATGTAAACAAAGTCATTTAGAGTAGATTTGCATCATTTTCTTGTACAGTAACGTCCTGATTCACAATGGTCAGAAAGTCTACAAAGCAAATATAGCCATTTTTTTCCTATCCAAAACCACAAGTGAACCTTCAGATATCTTCTGAATTTTATATGTATTGTTGATCCTGTTAAAATTGTCATAGATCTAGGGGGACTTGGGGACTATTCTGCCTCAAAATGCCCTACATGTGCCTTTTCACCCTTGAAAGCAAAAAACACATTTTAGGCCAAAAGCTTATCTTAAAACTATCATAAAAAATGTCTTAAGCACCTGGCTGCATATTTATAGCAATTTTACAATTTATAACAATAATTTTAACAGTTCCGACTCTAATTTGTACTAGAAAATTAAAAAAAAAACACTCTGCATGTTTACACCTAAATAAATGGAGTTATAAGGGAAGGAAAACTGGCGATTTTTCAAAAATTCTATATAATGAAATGGTGTTGTACACAGACGTACAAAGTCAGAGGGTTTGATGTGAAACGTTTAATTCTAGAGAAACTTACAGAGTCAAAATTGTTCAGAGTGGTGATGATAGGAACCAGATGTCTGAAGAGTTTAAATTCTCTGAAAGCTTCCTTGCAGAAAGTTATTGCATGAAGTGGTAGATATATGCTGCCAGATGTCTGACACATTTCCTCGTTTTGTGATAAAGTTTTGGCTTACAATATATTTTAATCCATTTATTTTAATCCATTCATGGGGCACATGCAAGGTGTTGTAAGGCAAAATCATTATTTTCTCAGATTTATGCCTACCTTACCATCATCAACATTACAAATAAAAATATCAGAAGACACATGTAGATTCACTGGTGGTTTTGGACAGTAAACAAAATGGCTATAATTATGTTGTAGACATGGTCACCCCTGGTTCCTATCACCACCACTGTAACGTAAATCAGAGTCTGTAAGTTTCTCTACAATGAACCACTTCACATCACACCACTCTGAATTACTTGACATCTCAAGGGCTGAATTATTCTTAAGAATTTTTTAAAAATTGGTGGAAATCTCCTTTAGGTCATCCAAAATACCTTCACCTCTACCTTCTACGCCCTATCAATTCTTCCCTCTCCCTTAATTTTTCCTTGATAAACATTTCTAATCCCACCATCACCCTGTCTCCTCCCACTCTTCTATGACTGCTCTCTCTCTTGCTGAGGGACAGGGGGGTTAGTCTTCCCTGACCTCAGCAAGCCTCTGTGCCCAGCTCAGTTTCAGGTGTGATTCAAACATGTAACTGTACTTTTACTATTTAGTGCCTCTTGTTGCTGTTCTTCTTCTTTTACCTTCAACTAATCCAAGCATAATTGATTTTTTAATGAATTGGTTGTTCTTATAATACATCCAAAATAAGACTTTCAGTTTATCAAGTTTGATCAAGAATCCACTTGTTTGTTTTCTTTGCCATCCTAGGTATTATCAAAAGTCTTCACCAGCACCAGATTTGAAAGGCATCAATATTTTACCTGTCCTTATTTTTTTTTCATTGCTTTCACATTCATGAATGCCTTAATGATTTAATTATGCAGAAATTCTAAAAAATCCTTTACATCTGTTACTAATGCTGAAACTCCATCCTTAGATTTGGGGTCTGGAAAATAGAAGCTGCTTACACTAAGGACTTCAGTACAACTGCTACGGCGGAATTTGAGGTCAAAGAATATGGTAAGAACCAGAGCCAAAAAGAGCTGATCGCTGAATTGTTCTTTAAAGAACCATTTTTTATTAAGAAATGTAGGTGTGAGAAACACTTTGAAAGTTTAAAGAACCTCTACATAATGTAAAGACTCTATACCAGTGGTCACCAGCCCTAGTCCTGGACATTGACCTTCCTGTGGAGTCTAGTTTCAACCACAGTTTGCTCTGCCTGCTCCAGCTAACTAACTTCTTAATTTACTGGCTGGATCAGATGCATGCATGTTAGGTAAGGGGAGGGGCATTTTAATTGGTTGTAACCAAAATTTGCAGGAAAGTAGAAGGAATTGGTAACCTCTACTCTGTACCATTAAAAGTTTTTCTGAACATACTCCCAAACCACGAAACTGACTATTTGCAAAATTCTGCAATTGTTGCTCAGCTTCCTTAATTATTCTTGCAACATCTGTCAAACGTTCAGTACAGGCTACCAGGCAGCATCTGCAGTGCTTGTAAGATTCTAACAGACTAAAATCTTCAGAAGTACAAAGGAAGTAGTAGTACACAGAGGAGGACATTTGAAACATTTTATATTCAAAAATAAACGGCTTTAGATGATGTTCAGTGCAGAAAAACATGTTTGAGAACTGGCAGAAGTTAAATCACACAAAACAGATTCAAAACACCATGTTTACATTAATCACACCAGGGAAATTGTTTAGCCACACAACGTTACAGCAGTGGGTTTTCGTGTTCAATAAGAGGGAGGTTTTAGCGACAGAAGCTACATTTTCAGATGAGCTAATGCTAAAGCTAACACTGGAGCTAGTCAGAGCAGTACTAGATGCTGAGGAGGAGTCATCATCTTTTAATTGAGGTCTTGCAGCAAACTTGTGAACAATGACTGGAATGTGTATCAATGCATTAAAATGTATCTTTGTAAACAATGAGTCTCGTTCATCAACCATTCCTAAGAACAAAATTCTTCTTAAAACCCACTTATGCAGTTTTCACAAAGATTCTGACATTCACCACTGTTTTCTTATTCGGGATTTGTTCTTACTTAAGAACAGAATCTACGCACACTCAAGAGCACAAAGGTGTGAATAATTCTGCGATTTAAGAACACATCATGAATCTGACGTAGACTTTTTCTTAGGACCTTTCTCAAGAACAAATTTAAGAAAAAAACTTAGGAAGATATCGGTGAATGAGGCCCATTGTTTTAATTAAAAGTTTAAGCACTGTACAGACTGGTTTAATTTGACTGATGTATCAAGTTAACTGTTAGCAGCTAAGTAAAGCTAGCTAGTTAGCTAATTGATCTGAACAGGAAGGAACCTTTAGAGATCATTGTGACTGGCTGAGAGACGTGTCAAAGATAATTGTGCAAATGTCAAATTCCAACTACCATTCAAAATTATGTATGCAGTATTTATAAATGATAGTGACTGAAACTTTGCTTTTCAGTGTTGCCCAGCATCTCAGTGCGCATCCAGCCAGAGGCTAACTTTGTCAGCACTGTGAGCTATGAGGCCTTCAAATTGAAGATATTGGCCAAGTGGGTTTTCCTCATCTACTGCATCATATTAGACAATTTAAATAATGAATTATTACATTGCCATTTTCCAACCCCTCTTTTCCCTTAGAATGAAAAAAGCTGTTTTTGTTACTAAACCTTTATGACAGATATGTTAATGAGCTCTGTACTAATTGGATGCCATGGACAGTGCCTTGTTTAAACAAGTAGTCTAGAATGAAACATTCCTTATAATTTTAACGTGATGGGCAGAACTTAATTGCTATAAGCTAAATATGATATTTGTAATGTGTTGGTTTTCATGACATCACAAACAATGAAATTAAATTGGGCTAATTTCACAGCTTAGTTTCCTTATATGTACTGAATGGACTGGGGAGTGAACAGTATGTCATCAAGCTCTTATAAAAAAAAACAGTTTTCCATGATATGGGCCCTTTAAGCATCTCCATCGCCTATGAAAACCATGACATTATTGTACATAATCCATATGAAGAGATTAAAGAAATTCAAATGATTAAAAGACTGAATCAGTTGGTTGTAGGCTTTTATAGGTGTAGGTGAGGTTAGCAGCAATTTGTGAGTTTTATGTGTAATCCATGTGTATGTGTGTGATATTTCCTGGTGTTTTTCTCTGCAGATATATCAGTGGAGCAGTAGTTGATTCAGCAGAGGTTTTCCTAAAGTTTGGATACATCAGTAACCATGATGTGGTCATGATACCCTCAACCTTAAGACGTTACACGGTAAAGTCAGCATTAACTTAAATTAAGTGCTTTTGTTGATAAATGAACATATAAAACACCTTCTAAACCCCCTAGGTTAACTAGGTTATTTCCTCTTTTAGATGTACAATGGAGAATTGAATGTGGTATTGGACATTAAACGTGCTCTGTCCAAGATGGGTTCTGGGCCACAGGACCTGAGCGAAATGAAGGACCATTTCCTCCGTGTGCTTGTTTTGCTGCAAGAGTCAACTGGTCAGTCTCAAAACCTGCTCAATTGAGTGCAAAAAGTACTGATATGTGGTATAATCAATTGATTTAGTTTCAAAAGTGATTGTAATTGTTGAAAAATGTCTTACCTCTCTACTCGCTCCATCACAATAAAAGGTATCTTTGCTGATTTTTATGTATTGGTTAGTGTCCTGCAAGTGCAATCTCTCCCTTCATTGTTGTCAGGTGGTATTTCCCAGGAAGCGGTACTGTCCAATATAAAGTTTGTTGATGCTCCATTTACCTTGAGTCTAATAGCGACTCCTGCTTTCATCAAGCCAACCTTGCCATACAGCATTAGAGTAAGTCATCTGTAGACCACTGTTAAGAAGCAATGTGTATTTAAGTATCAGTTCAATGTTTATGTCTTTTTACATATGACAACTCTGTCAATGAATCTGTTCTTTACACTAGAAATGAACCAAGGGGATTTCTTGACTTACATTCTGAAATAAATTTAATTCATTGTAATTGTGTTTTATGCTGAGGTTACAAAGTCTGTACACTACACTAATGAAAATGTGACTTTTTTTTTTTTTGAGTAGGTTTTGGTGAAGGACCCACTAGGTGAACCAATAAGAGGAGTACCAGTGAAGGCGAGGGGAACTTTAACGAACACTAATCAAGAACAGGAGCCACTCAGATTCTTTGGATACCTGAATGAAATCACACAGAGATCTCAGCAAGATGGTGTCACATATTTCATTTGCAACATTCCAAGTAATGCAGCAAAAGCTGAATTTACTGTGAGTAAAAATGTGCAATTCTATATATTTTTATGTAATATAATAATAAAGATGTATTTTAATTCTATATATACACTTATGCAGAATATTTCGGCAGATACTTTTTTACTGTTTTATAAAGTACCATCAAGGAAAATTAATAACAAAACCTAATGGCAGTCCTGGAGATCTACCTTTCTATGAACTGTAGATTCAGCCAAATTCAGCCACAGCTGCTCCAGAAAAGGTTGGAATTAAATTCTGCAGGAAGGGTTGGTGACCACTGGTCTATTGTCATTTCATGCCAGATCTTTTTAATAAGAGGTCTAAGCAAAAAATGTAGGACATGATGTGGTGCTTGAACCCCGTGGATTGCCACTTACAGCTAAATGCTGAATTATTTTGTGTTTCAGTTTGAGACTGCTGATCAGCAGTACCCTCCTGATAGCCAGGCTCACCTTCAACTCAGAACTGAAGTTTACCAGTCTGTCAATCAACGCTATCTGTATATTGATTTACCCTCCGACTTGTCATCATTTGAAGTGGACGACTACGCCAATATCAAGATCCACTTTTCTTATCGTGATTATCTCCCACTGAAGACCTTCAGTTATCAGGTAATGAACACTAGGATGAACACTCTTCACATGAACTGCGTAAGAAGAGGAGTACTATCTTGTCCATTTTGTTTATACATTCAAGCACTTATTCATTCTTGCCATAGGTCATCTCAAAGGGGAAAGTGGTAAAGTTTGCCACAGAGCAGCGTGTAAGTGAGAAGTCCCAGAACATCAATTTCAAGATTACTGCTGACATGGTGCCATCTGCCCGCCTGCTGGTCTATTACATCCTGTCTGGAGAGCAGAGAGCTGAACTGGTGGCGGACTCCGTCTGGCTCGACATCAAGGCGAAATGTGTCAATGGTTTAGACGTAATATAAAAGACTCTTCTTGGCTTATATATCATACTTTTATTAGTATGTTTCATTTGCACTATATATTTCATTCTTACTGATTGTGAATGTTGATTGTCTCTTAAAAATGAATTTGCCAAAAAAGGTTCTTTGGAGCAATGCTATAGGAGAACTACTTTTGATTCCTTTAAGAACCTTTCAATTGATGGTTCTTTGAAGAATTGTTCTATGAGATATGTCTCATAAGGCTCTAATTCCATTGTCTAACTTCTCTTTATCTCTTAAAATGAAACAGGATGTTTTTGTTACTGTGCTTTTAAAACTGATGTAAGCCAAATGAGCTGTGTTCTGATTGGCTGTGATGTATCTCATTTAAAAAAGCACTCCGAGCTGAAACACTGCTTAGAACCTTAATATCAATGGGTGGAGAAAACTGCTATAGGCTGAACAGGTGGATAGCTGTAAATATGTTGATTCTCATGACTTCACAGAAATGAAGTCAGTTTGCAGCTTAGTTTACATATAGGGACTGTATGGGAAGTGAATGGTACATTTTGAAGGTTTAACAATGTTTACACTTTACTTCAATCTTCTTTACTCAAAAAAAAAACAAACAAGGGAATATGTTTTTCCATTATATGGGCCCTTTAAAGAATCTACATAATGTAAAGGTTCTAAACCAGCTTTAAAGTTTTTATTAGAAGCAAAAATCCAACCCATAGACTTTTATTTTCAAGAGTGTATTTCTCAGCATACTTATCAATTGTTTCTTGATGTACTTGGATCTAATATTAAATTCATAAGGAATATCCTATTTAAAAAAAAAAACATCTGAAACATCTTACACTTGATTGCATTTAGCTTACTGTATTGCCAAACTCTTAACCATTTTTTCTTGCCTCTTAGGTAAACCTGGTATCCACAGATAGGGACTACAAACCTAAAGACATGGTCCAGCTGTCAGTAACGACTAAGAGTGGTAGTCAAAGGCCCCTCGTGGCACTGTCAGCTGTAGACAAGGCTCTGTATGACCTGCGAGCCAACGACAAAGACCCAATGACCAAGGTCAATATGTTCTATCCTTTTAATCTTGTTCAGTCTCCAAGGCAGCATTCGTTATCCTAACAATGATCATAATAATGGTATAATACTAATAATGGCCATGATCTTGGAAGCAATGATGATGATAAATTTTGTGTTCATTGTGCTTTTCTCACTCTTACAGGTGTTGCGACACATCGAGCACAGCGACCTGGGCTGCGGAGGAGGAGGAGGCCGAAACAACATAGATGTCTTCTACCGCACTGGTCTGACTTTCCTCACCAATGCAAATGTCAAGGCCTCCACTGCGGGTAAATAAGGTCTTATGGCATGTATCTGGAAACATTATCAACAGTTTGTTGGGTCTTCATGTCCGGTTAATGATAGAGGCGAGTTGCTTTGGCCACAAGAAATAAATGTCACATATGTCACATTCTGTCATAACCTTGTCTTGTCCTCCATTTGAGCAAATAGAAATTTAATACTTTGTAGGATTGATGTTGAACAGATTTGGCCTTATCTTCCAGATGAGGCCTGCACAGCTGTGGTCAGACCAAAGCGCTCCACTATTCACCCCGAGGAGCTGCTGGAAGAATTAAGTGAGTTTAGATGAATGCTCAGTTTGAATTGATCAAAACTGTTAGAAACTAGCTTAATAAGGATGTTATAGAATGACTGAAATTAAATGAATGGAGGATAAATGGTAAAATGACCATCAGCTGCACTATGTGAGTTTTGGGGATTTGGAGACCTCTCTGGTAGAAATGTGTAATTGCATACAACATGCAGAAGAACACTTTCTAACGTGGGTTGTACTCAGTGGAAGATGTAGAAAATTTTGCCAGGGGTGGCAAAGGGGTGGGAGTTATGGAAGAGTAGCAATATGAATGTCTCAGAATCTCAGGCCACCCCTTAAAAACGTGCATAGTTGTACCTCGAACTCCTCCCTGAGCATACGAATCTGGTGATTGCAAGCGCACACTTCTACACAATTTAATGCACAATTACTGTTTATTTATTGAATTTAAAATCTTAGTTGTGGCCTGTGCAAAGGTTATGACATATTTCATGTTTTATTTTTATGAAAAAAAAATTCTCCTTAAAATGCCATATTTAAGTATGTTTCTTGCAGAGGATGTGTAACAAGTAAGTTGATGTAACTTTTGCATACAACTGTGTGTCTCAGCTAAGACAGCTTTGGAAATTGGTGGTAGCAGTCAAGTGGTGATAGTGTCATTGTTGGATGTGGGTTGGAAAGTCACATTTAGTCAGTGGCTCATATAACTTAGTAACTTTCTGTTTTTGCATTAAGCAGAAGTTGCAGATGATATTGATGAAACTGCACTCCAGAGTAAGCGCTCTACTACACCTCTGAGTGATCAGTTTGAGGAAAGAGGTAAGAGGTTACTGAAATGTTACAGCTACTGATGGCTGATATTTCAGTATATCAATACTGGAATACCAGTATTGCTGTCACATTAGTTAATTGTAATGTATGTCATTCACTTGGTTCTTTGGTTTTTATAGAACACTTCAAAACACACAAAAAAATGAATAAATGAAGGAATCTTTCTGGAAATCTGGTTTCTATCTGATTAACATTAGCAGTACTGTTTAAGGTTCCCTTTGGCGTGAACAAAACCAATGAGGTTTATGATCAATGCAAACTAATACTTAAGCATAGAGTAACATTTGTCTGGAAGAATGGGTTCATTAAATTTATTAATACATACTTAAATGATATCTGATACAGTGATACCACGACACAAAAATGTACTAATATTGAATTTTCTCACTAATACCCAGCACTACTCATTTCTGTGAGATTTTGTTGCTGTTTTAAAACAGAATTAACAGTTTCTGTGTCCCACAGCCAACCAATATGGGGTTTATAAGTTATGGTGCCTGGCTGGAACTGACAGTAGCCCAACTCTGGAGTCCTGTTTGGAGCGCACCAAGCGATTAACCACCCAGGACAAAACATCTAAGAAGGTGTTCTATGACTGCTGTAACTTCGCCCAAGAGCTTCGGGCAGAAACTTCAGTCAAGATCATTCTTTCAGGTATGTTCTTGTTCTTGGGTACAGACGTACAGTAAGAGTATCATAATGTCCCTGTTGCTAATTAGTTGACTTTTAGCATGTTTTAATTGTTTTTTTTTCCATCATCCAACCAAATTCACATTAGTGTAAAATAAAGCTGCCCGCAGCTGTGCTAATTCATCTTCATCTTCGCTCTTAATTGTATCAGCTAGTTGCTTTTATGTACTTGAGGATGTTTACATGACCATAATTTTTGACTTTGCCCTCAAATATATTTTTGGTCCCATTTTTACACTTTTAACTGAGTAAGTAGCCGTTCTTTCACGGAAATATAGTTTCTCTGTTGAAATATAGTTTCCAATATTGTTTCTACAGTTGTATATAAATGTTTGGGCACCCCTGGTGAAATGATCTGTTTTGTTGATTGTCTAAATGAAAATATGTTAACACATCCTCTACATAGAACACACTTCAGCACATTTTTAATGCACAGTTACTGTTCCTTTACTGAATTATTGCACTGAATTTATTCACCAAATTTACTGAAAATTTATCTTGTGCAAAAGTTATGGCACATTTTATGTTTTGCATTTTTTTTTTCAATATTTTAACCCCTTAAAATCCCAGGCTTATTACATACAAAGTCTTATTATATAGTAACTACAGGGACTTTAGTGTAAACTGGCTGAGCTATTCTTAGGTTATAGAAGTGTGTAATAAAACTTTGGGCCCACCAGTGGAGCCTGGCCATTTAAGGGGGCTAAACTCAGAAAACAAATTTTAAAATATGCAGAAATGTAAGTAAATAAATATAAAAATATGCAGAAAATGCCTATTTAAATTTGTTCTCTGTATGTGAGGTGTTAACTTATTATTACTTAGAAAATCAACAAAACATGTTATTTGACCAGGGGTGTCCAAACATTTGCATACGACTGTGTATCTCAGCTAAGACACATCTGGAAATTGGTGGTAGCAGTCAGTTGATGATGGTATCATTGTTGTGGATGGATGTGGGTTGGAAAGTCACATTAAGTCAGCAGCTCATACAACTTAGCAACATTGTTTTATTGCATTAAGCAGGACGTGAAAGTAAGCCTCATGAGACTGCAGTCAGGACAAAGCGCTCTACTACACCTCTGAATGACCAGTTTGAGGAAAAAGGTAAGTAGTTACTAAAATGTTACAGCTGGATGATGTATCAGTATATCAGTAGTGGAATAGCATAATTGCTGTCACATTACATTACTGATTTTTACTTTTATCGATATTGATAGAAGACAAAAAAATAACTTAATTCATTACAGTGTTTGTCATTTGCTGGGTACTTTTTTTTGAAAGAACAGTTCAAAATACACAAACACTGAATAAACTGTGAGTTTCGTTTCTGGAAATCTTGTTTCTATTTCGCTAATATTGTATACTGTATAATATTTCCTTTGGTGTAAAACAAAATGTAAAAGTTTTGTAATCAATACAATCCATATCAGGTTTTGAGACAATATTTTAGCGTAGAGTAGCAGTTCTCTGGAAGAATGGATTCATTAACTTTATTAATACATAATTAAGTGTTATCTGAGACTGTGATACATTTGGAAATGTTGTGATGCATAATTGTCTCACTAATGTCAAGCACTACTTATTTCTGTGAGATTTTGTTGCTGTTTCAAAACAGAATTAACAGTTTCTGTGTCCTGCAGCCAACCAATATGGGATTTATAAGTTATGGTGCCTGGCTGGAACTGAAAGTAGCCCAACTCTGGAGTCCTGTTTGGATCGCACCAAGCGATTAACCACCCAGGACAAAACATCTAAGAAGGTGTTCTATGACTGCTGTGGTTTCGCCCAAAAGCTTCGGGCAGAAACTTCAGTCAAGATCATTATTTTAGGTATGTTCTTGTTCTTGGGTACAGACGTACAGTCAGAGTATCATAATGTCCCTGTTGCTAATTAGTTGACTTTTAGCATGTTTTAATTGTTTTTTTTTTTCCATCATCCAACCAAATTCACATTAGTGTAAAATAAAGCTGCCCGCAGCTGTGCTAATTCATCTTCATCTTCGCTCTTAATTGTATCAGCTAGTTGCTTTTATGTACTTGAGGATGTTTACATGACCATAATTTTTGACTTTGCCCTCAAATATATTTTTGGTCCCATTTTTACACTTTTAACTGAGTAAGTAGCCGTTCTTTCACGGAAATATAGTTTCTCTGTTGAAATATAGTTTCCAATATTGTTTCTACAGTTGTATATAAATGTTTGGGCACCCCTGGTGAAATGATCTGTTTTGTTGATTGTCTAAATGAAAATATGTTAACACATCCTCTACATAGAACACACTTCAGCACATTTTTAATGCACAGTTACTGTTCCTTTACTGAATTATTGCACTGAATTTATTCACCAAATTTACTGAAAATTTATCTTGTGCAAAAGTTATGGCACATTTTATGTTTTGCATTTTTTTTTTCAATATTTTAACCCCTTAAAATCCCAGGCTTATTACATACAAAGTCTTATTATATAGTAACTACAGGGACTTTAGTGTAAACTGGCTGAGCTATTCTTAGGTTATAGAAGTGTGTAATAAAACTTTGGGCCCACCAGTGGAGCCTGGCCATTTAAGGGGGCTAAACTCAGAAAACAAATTTTAAAATATGCAGAAATGTAAGTAAATAAATATAAAAATATGCAGAAAATGCCTATTTAAATTTGTTCTCTGTATGTGAGGTGTTAACTTATTATTACTTAGAAAATCAACAAAACATGTTATTTGACCAGGGGTGTCCAAACATTTGCATACGACTGTGTATCTCAGCTAAGACACATCTGGAAATTGGTGGTAGCAGTCAGTTGATGATGGTATCATTGTTGTGGATGGATGTGGGTTGGAAAGTCACATTAAGTCAGCAGCTCATACAACTTAGCAACATTGTTTTATTGCATTAAGCAGGACGTGAAAGTAAGCCTCATGAGACTGCAGTCAGGACAAAGCGCTCTACTACACCTCTGAATGACCAGTTTGAGGAAAAAGGTAAGTAGTTACTAAAATGTTACAGCTGGATGATGTATCAGTATATCAGTAGTGGAATAGCATAATTGCTGTCACATTACATTACTGATTTTTATTGATAGAATACAAATATTGATAGAAGATATTGATAGAAGACAAAAAAATAACTTAGTTCATTACAGTGTTTGTCATTTGCTGGGTACTTTTTTTTTGAAAGAACAGTTCAAAATACACAAACACTGAATAAACTGTGAGTTTCGTTTCTGGAAATCTTGTTTCTATTTGGCTAATATTGTATACTGTATAATATTTCCTTTGGTGTAAAACAAAATGTAAAGGTTTTGTAATCAATACAATCCATATCAGGTTTTGAGACAATATTTTAGCGTAGAGTAGCAGTTCTCTGGAAGAATGGATTCATTAACGTTATCTGAGACTGTGATACATTTGGAAATGTTGTGATGCATAATTGTCTCACTAATGTCAAGCACTACTTATTTCTGTGAGATTTTGTTGCTGTTTCAAAACAGAATTAACAGTTTCTGTGTCCTGCAGCCAACCAATATGGGGTTTATAAGTTATGGTGCCTGGCTGGAACTGAAAGTAGCCCAACTCTGGAGTCCTGTTTGGATCGCACCAAGCGATTAACCACCCCAGACAGAAAGCGTAAGAAGGTGTTCTATGACTGCTGTAACTTCGCCCAAGAGCTTCGGGCAAAAGCTGAAGAGAAGATCACTCTTAGTCGTTCAGGTATGTTTTTGTATTTGATTGCAGTCATGAAAAAAGTACACTTTTGCAACAACTCAATCTCCTGCCAAAAAAAATTAAAGATTTAGTCAAAAGGCAAACTGTAACTGATGTCTCTTGAGTGCAGAAGTGGAGTTCCTGCTGGATATCAAGACAGTGCAGGTTCGCAGCTACTTTCCAGAGAGCTGGTTGTGGGAGGAACATGAAATTGACAGGTGATAATATTTCTATAACGTCTTCTTTAACCCCTTATTACTTCTCAAATCATTTACAGTCTTATATACTGCCTATCTCAACAACTCAACAATCTCAAAAAAGTGTTGTGTTTATTACAGCTGAGCATGCTATTAAAGACGTGTGTAAAATTATGACAATAAAACCTCAGGTATAATGATATATCACATGCATTTTATACATAATTGATTTGATATCAGGACTCCAGCGTTTAAATCACATTAGATTTTTTTATATGTGCTTTCAACAATAGTTTGGAAAACAAAACTGTTAAATCATTATTTGAAGTTATTTCATGACTTCATACCAAGGAAGACACTTTTTTAAAGTGTTAGTAAATAACTGTGGAATGTTTAGGTCATTTAGGTAAGGTAGGTGATCTTAACTGAAAAGTAAATGTTAAGTGAATAAATACAGTTATATGCAATAGTTTGAACACTTCTGGTCATATTAAGTTTTGTGGATTTTCTAGGTAAAAATTTAGTTAACACATCTTCCATAGGGAGCCAGCTTAAATCTTACTTTCTGAAAATTTTTAATGCACAATTTCTATGTATTTGCAGAGTTTAGCATTTTGGGGGAAAAATAAATAATTAAATGTAAAACGTAAAATGTGCCATAAGTTTTGCACAGGCCAGATTTTAGATTTTATTTTTCCCCAATATGTTAAATTCAGAAAATATACAGCAATTGTGCATTAACATGTGCAGAAGTGTGGTCTCTATAGAGTATGTGTTAACTTACATTCACTTAGAAAATCAACAAAACATGTCATTTGACCAGGGACTCCAAAACATTTGCATACAATTGTATATATAAAGTTATTGATATCTGAGTCAGAAGAATACAGGTTTGGTTCCTGACATTTTGGTGCACTCAAGGGAACCTGAATTCACTTCAGGACTCATGTATTAACTAAATTTTTACCTAGAAAATCCACAAAACTTAATATGACCAGAAGTGTTCAAACTATTGCATATAACTGTATTTATTTACAAGGACTCATTAGCCTATAACTCTAGAGCCTGTGGGCCTGTTGTGGATTTCCATCCAAATGTTCAAGCAAAATCTTCATTTTTATTCATGCAATCATGCAACAAAATACATTTACAAGAAAATGCCTACAAAATAGATTTTCAGAGGTTATTGTGTAGCTTTTTGATAGAAATTGGTAGAATTGTATCTTACATAAAACCTTTGTTTTGTAAATATAATTCTGAAAACTCACTCTAAGATTACATTTCAAAGATAAAGTATTGCACAATCATTTATCAAGTCCAAAGTTTTCCAATAAATAAACCTGTTGTAGGATTTTATTATTATTATTTTATGATTCAGTGAACTGATTTAAAGTGAAATATTATTCTTAGTTTTGTATTTATACCCAGCTAATATTTCAGCTCAGTTCAGTCATTCTGTAAGCAGTTAAACTCATGCAATATAGAACCTGATGGGACCAACTTGGAAAAAATAAGTAAAAGTAAAAAAGTAAAACTCTATAGTTAGCACTATTCTGCTATTCTAGCACATGTAGACTCACTGGTTGTTTGGGATAGTAAAAATAAAAATGGATATATATGTGTTATAGACATTGAGACCCCTGGTTCCCATCATCAGCATTATGAAGAAATTTGAAATCCAGTAAGTTTCTGGTTGGAAATGCAAGGATTAGGCTCATTAAACACCCAACAGAAAATGATCAGGATTTTCTTTCTCTGTAGTATCTAGGTAGTTAAAGCCAAGCTAGCTTTTCCATTGGTTATTATTTCAGAAAAGGGACTGAAGGCCTAACCTGTCAGATTAACCACTAACATAATTAGGAACTGACAGAGCAATCAAGGGTAAAAATTAATACTGCTTCTTTCATCAAATAAGCAGTTAAACTCATGCATAAACTCATGAAAAAATTGACACTTTTTCAAATAAATTAAAAGAAAAAAAACTAAAGAAAAAAATGGGAACAGCCTTAAAGGTTTGCATGACTTCATGCAAACTGAAGCTTTTGCTTAATTTTTTTCATAGAAATCCATAATATGACCAGGCAGGAACTAGGTGAATTGGCATAGAATGACTCCACTGTAAACAGTGGGTCTACAAATGGTTAAGCTAAAATTCACAATCATTATACTAATGTTAGTGGCTTTTTAACAAATAAATGCTCACCGTCCAGATAAATTGTTTTACATACCCTTTTTTCTCAGACTGCCTAGACTTTTACACGCCACTGTATATTGATTTGAACTTATTCTTCTAGGTCTGGATCACATGTTCTGACTAAAAGTCTTCCAGATTCTCTGACTACGTGGGAGATGAAAGCTGTTGGGGTGTTCAACAATGGTGAGATAAGGCAACTGCTCTGTGCTAGCACCACCAGGTGGTGAATGAAGGAGGTACATTTGGTAGAACTTCTTGACTGTTTAAACACTGACCCCAGTCAAACTGCAACTGCTGACAGATATTGAAAATAAACTATTCGGTATTAATTGAGACAGCGTGCCCTTAAATAAAGATGTTGATTGGTTTTATTGTGCTTTGGTGTTAAGTTCTCATTCTGTTTGCTCTGTGCGACTCTGCAGGGATATGTTTGGCAGATCCTGTGGAGGTGCGTGTTTCTCAGGCGCAGAGTATAGATGTACCTCTGCCCTACTCCATGGTGCGTGGGGAGCAGATTGAGCTCAAAGGCTCAGTCTACAATAAGAAAAACATAGACACAACGGTATGATTTCCAGCTTATTAATTAACATCTGCTGACTTCAAATGACTCTGAAAGTATCCCAAACTGTTGTAGTGGATTTATATCCTGTTTAAAAAAGGGCACAGCACTGCTCAGTTTGAGAATGAAATGGGAAAAAAATGAAATCATTACATTTAAGTGGCCCTTGGCTTGTAAAACAGGGAAAAAAATTTGAAATAATTGATTTGAAGCTTTAGTATGTACTGTTCATGCCCCAGTACATATACTTGTACGCAAATGTGCAAATGTTTGGGCGATCCTAGTCAAATTACATGTTCTGTTTGTTTTTCTAAGTGAAAAGAAGTTAGCACATCCTCTACACAGAACACACTGAATTAGGCATATTGGGAAAATAAATAAAACATAAAATCTGTCCTGTGCAAATGTTATGGCACATTTTATATGGTTTCATATTCATATTTCCAATTTAATAACTATTCTTTTCCAATATGTTTAACTCAAATAAATAAATAGAAAATTGCACTAAAATATTTACATTTGCTGTAAAGGAACCCATTTTTCTTCAAAAATCAATAAAATATCATTTGACCAGAGGTATTTAAACTTTTGCATACAACTCTATGCTTTATATATGGAAACTAAAAAACACATTTACTTATATCTATATATACAGACTAAAGCAGTTCAGTTTTATTGTTTTTTTTTTTTTAAATCAATAAAGCCATAACAATTTCTGTAAAAATACCAAGTGGCCAGCGTAGGGTTCTCCTTTTGCAGCTGTAGCCATTCAGCAGCCTGTCACTGTTGTCCACCCTCACACACACAAACACACACACACACACACACACTAACAGCAGGCCATGTAGGAGGAGAACAGAGTGAAGGGACACAGCACCTCCACACTTTTATTCCCCATGGGTTCACCCCTACACATTTATATTACACATGTGGTGTTGGGGTGAACCCGTGGGGAAAAAGAAGTGTTTGAACAGTGTGAAGTCATTGAAAATGTGCTATTTTATATGTTCTTAACAGAAAAAAGGCCATGGAATCTGAGGTTGAAATAATAATAAATCATATCTTTTTTTCTTTTGGTAAACATTGAAAATGGGCCCCACAGACCCGAACACCACACAAGGGTTAATTCTGTTGGTTTTATGTTTTTGATGCATAAAACTACACAATATCATAAGTGGACATCAGAGGGAAAACATATAAAACCCAAACAAAATGTAGAATATGAAGTAAACACCTTCTATCTTTGCTTTTCTTCTCATGGCCTTTAGAAATGTTTTGGACGTAATATTGTGGTCTTCTAATACAGGAAATTCAGCTGTACAGTTCTATTGAACCGTCTGACAAAACAGGCTGTAACTGTAACTGTTTTTCTCTTTCAATTATCAGTTCAGAGTAACTCTCTCTGCATCTGACGGAGTTTGTGTCTTTCATGGAACTCTGTGGACAGATGATGGAGACCCTCATGTAAACAAAGGCAAGATTGGGGCCCATTCTGTGGCACTGGTCCGATTCTTTATCATGGCGTTAGAAGCTGGCACTCATGAACTCACATTCACCCTCTCAACCAGGTCAACAGTGGATACAGTGGTCAAGAAACTGAGAGTAGTGGTAAGACAGATTGAAATGGTCATTATTTTAAAGGGAAATTTAACAGATTTTTCAAAATTTCTACATAATTACAGGGTTAAGATGTAAACAAAGTCATTTAAAGTGGTTTGATGTGAAATACTCAGTTCTAGAGAACGAAGTTCTTCCAAAGTCTTACAAAGTCAGAATTATTCACAGTGGTGGTGACAAGAACCAGATGTCCGAAGAGTTTACTGCCTCCCAAAGCTATATCACAAATAGTTATTACTTGAAACGGTTAGGAATATGCTGCTTAATTCCTGAGGCTTTGTTTTAATTACTTACTTAGTTATTTCCTTACTTATTTATTTACTTATTTATTTGGATTGGATTGGATTTACCATTTTTCTGCTATTACCAATAGTACATATAAAAACTCAGAAGACACGTGAAGGTTCACTGGTCATTTTGGATAGCAAATAAAATGGACGCACATGCATTCTAGACATTAAGACTACTGGTTTCTATCACCATTATAAAGAAATTTGAAATCCAGTTTCTCTACTATGCACCATTTTACATCAAAACACTCTGAGTGGCTTTGTTTATGATTTAGCAGCTGAATTATGCAGACGTTTTAAAAAATGGTTTTCCCCTTTAAGGCAGGTGATTACTTTAAATCTGATCTGCACTTGCACTCTTTTCTGATGCACTGAAAGAAATGATGCACTGAATCTGCTGAATTCAAATGTGTCAAATTTCAGTATGGCCACCACTATTAATTATGCTTCAGCTGTGCATTTCACTGTTACTTGTATATATGCACAACCCCGTTTCCAAAAAAGTTGAGAAGCTGTGCAAAATGTGAATAAAAATAGAATGCAATGATATTCAAATCATTCAAACCCTGTATTTACTTGAAAATAGTACAAAGACAACATTTCAAATGTTGGAACTGAGAAGTTATTTATTGTTTTTTTGAAAAATATATGCCCATTTTGAATTTGATGCCAGCAGCATGTTTCAAAAAAGTTGGGACAGGGGAATGTTTACTACTGTGTTGCATCACCTCTTCTTTTAACAACACTTTGCAAGTGTTCAGGAACTGAGGAGATCAACTGCTGTAGTTTTGCAAGTAAAATGTTTTCCAATTCTTGCTTGATATATGATTTCAGCTGCTCAACAGTTCAGGGTCTCCTTTGTCGTATTGTTCATTTCATAATGTGCCAAATGTTTTCAATGCATGTCTGATATAGAGCCATGCTGTTACAATACGTGCAGAATGTTTTTTTGACATTGTCTTGCTGAACTAAGAAAAAAGGGCTTCCTTGAAAAAGACGTTATCTGGATGGCAGCATATGTTGCTCCAAAATCTGAATATATCTTTCAGCATTAATGGCGCTTTCACAGATGTGCAGGTCTCCTTGGACCACAGGATGCTTTTCCTAATTGTCTCAGTCCATCTTAATTGAGTTTGGGCCCAGACAAGGTGGCAGCATTTTTTGCATATGGTTTCTTCTTTGCATGATATTGTTTTGCAGTGGAGAACTGAAGAACTGCAGTGAAGAACTGTGTTCACAGATGTTGTTTTTCAGAAGTGTTCCTGAGTCCATGCAGTGATTTCTACTACAGAATTGTCTGTTTTTAATGCAGTGTCTTCTGAGAGCCTGAAGATCACAGCCAGCCAATACTGGTTTACAGCCTTGTCTCTTGCATAGAGATTTCTCCAGATTCTCTGAATCTTGTAATGATATTATGTATCGTAGATGAGGTGAAGGAAGTTAATGTGCTGTGTTGTGTGTGTGTGTTTTGAAGTTGTATTTTAGGTTGCCTATTGTTGTCTTTCTCCTTATATGGTCATGTTGTCACACCTGTTACTTGTCCTATATACGCTGGGTCTAAACTTGGCATCAGTCCAGCTATAAAAGTGTGACAGTCCATTGTATAGGGGGGCTGGCTGGGTGTCTGGAACCTGCGCGCGCAACAAATAAACTTCACCTGTCCAGACAACAGATCGAGTCTCCCGGGTTTGGATTTTATCAGAGGAAATCACCAAGTTCTATGCTATTTTACATTGAGAAATGTTATTTTTCTACAAAATCTTTCACAGAGTGGTGAATCTCTCCACGTCTGGGCAGTCATGGGCTGGAGGTTAGGGAACCAGCCTTGTGACTGGAAGGTTGCTGATCCCCAGAGCCGACAGACTGAGGTGCCCTTGAGCAAGGCATCTAACCCCCAACTGCTCCCTGGGCGCCATGGATAGGGCTGCCCAACCTCCGGACAAGTGTGCTCACTGCCCCCTAGTTTGTGTTCACTAGTCCGTATGCACGGATGGGTTAGAATGCGGAGGTGAGGGAGGCGTTGTGGGATTAATAAGAGTCACTTAATCTTTACTTCTGAAAGACTCTCTCTGAAAGTCTCTCTGGGATGCTCTTTTTACACCCAATCATGTTACTAACCTGTTGCCAATTAACTAAATGAGTTGTGAGATGTTGCACCAGGTGCTTTTTAGCATTACACAACTTTACCAGTCATTTGTTGCCCCTGTCCCCACTTTTCTGAATTGTGTTGCTAGCATCAAATTCAAAATGGGCATATATTTTTCAAAGAACAATAAAATAGGGCTTAAAAGATTTGCACATCACCAGCGTTCTGTTTTTATTTACATTTTGCACAGTATCTCAATTTGTTTGAAAAGAAGGTTGTATATATAAACTCAATAGCAGTTTTAATGTTCTTGGCCTTTCACAGCCAGAGGGTGTTAGAAAGGAAATCTGGATTGGAGGTAGACTTGACCCACAAGGTGTCTATGGTAAGGACTTTTATACATCTATTTTATTTTGTTCTGACAACATTTAATTAACATATATATATATATATATATATATATATATATATATATATATATATATATATATATATGTTCTAGGGGAGTTGCTGTCCATCATTACTGATCCTATATATATATATATATATATATATATATATATCAAACATTAACATTATCTGGCTGCTTCTAAAAACACAGGAAAATCTGCAAATCGCGTTGAGCTCAGAAATTCCCTTCCTCCTAACCTTGTGCCCAAGTCAACTGTGGATCGCCTGCTAATAGTAAATGGTATGTTTGCTATATAAGTAATGTCTGCATTGAAGTATTATGTGGCGGCAAGTTCTGCTAATAGTTTAAGAGTTTATTTATACAATGCTCGTTTTCAATTAGTAGTGCAATTAGTAGTCAGAGTTGCGTTAGTATGAGCTGTACTTTTTTCATTGTGTCCTTCTGTTCAGGTGAGGTTTTGGGGGAGTTGCTGTCCATCATTACTGATCCAAAGGGGATAATGCAGCTGATTAACCTGCCCAGAGGCTCTGCGGAAGTGGAACTTCTGGGTCTTCTTCCCGTCTTCTATGTGTATGATTACTTGGAGCGGACCGAGCAGTGGGGGCAGCTAGGGACAGCTGTCAGTAGCATTGGTTTAAAGAGAAAGATAAAGGAAGGTATGACATGTTTTATACTAACTGGATTACATAAGCCTAGACTAGATTTAAATAGAATAGAACAACTTCATTCATTGAAGTTGGCACAAATTCACCTTCTACTGTATAAGTCAGCATTTCATAGTACTACAAACTGTGTAACATCATATACTAGTCCTAAATCAAGCTATGAAATAGACGACTGAAGTCGTGCATCATCCCTTATTAAGGACTCTGGATCTGAGCAGGATTTATCTATGGCATTTCGCAAAATCGCTGCTATCGTACCCTGTGGTGAACAAATACTTTCCAAACTCAATACGTTTTGTCCTAGATACATTTTTCTCTGAAGGTCACTGGATTCTCAGAATTACGAGGTTGTTAAGGAGACAAAATTGAACTTTGCTACATACGAGCTAACACTGCTGTGGACTGAATTAACATCATAAGATGGGTAACCTCACTAAAATACCTCAAACGAACTAGCAGGCTTTGTCAAGTAGTAGCAGTAGTAAAGTACATTTAGAATAGCTGGTGTTTTTATATAATAGTGCTGAAGTTTAACAGTAGACCTATTTTCACGCAACATCCGTTCTGTGCACAGGAGTAGTAGCTTGCTATTAGCATAGATGTAGCAAATTTCATGTTTCAATTCCTTGACATGGCCAATTGAAGACTAGAAACATTGTAAAATAATTTAAAAAACACATTTTCAACAGCACCAAAAAAATGCATCTGTAAATAATGCAGTAGTTTAAGAACAATGTACCTCAATAAGCAATTGCAAGGATTTTTCAGGTATTTCACTCTATGGTACATAATATTATTAAAAGATTCTGGGACAATCTGTGCACATCAAAGAGCAAGGCCAAAAAGCATAGTGGAATGGCTGTATTTTCAATCCCTCAGACAGCACTGCATTAAACACCACCATGCTTTTATGATGGATATCCCCACATGGGTCTCAGAAATACTTTGACCAATAAGCACTGTTTATCGCAGCAACCACAAATGCAAGCTTGCATGGCCGATTAATCAGTCCAGACCTAACAATTAAACTCCTGCCACCCAACCCCGCCCCTCTACTTCGTGTGTCCCTGCGAGCAGCGTAACAGGCGAACCAATGTTTCTGTGATTACACTGTTGCTACTGTCATAAACTGTAGTAATGCTGTAAGTGCAATGTATGAGGAAAATACTTTTTATATACAATCGAAAATGTATTTAAGTATGATGTATTTAAGTAGCTGGTGCTTCTCCTAGGTATCACCAGCATCATGTCATTTAAGTTAGAGCGGGAGCACGGTTTCAGTTTATGGAAGAACAAAGAACCCAGCACATGGTAAGTTCAAGCTTTTTTACTTATAGTTATCGACAGGGCTACTTCTGAACATGCGAAGGCCCTAAGCACCTAAAATGACACACATTTAACTGTAATTAAATGTATTGCACCTGAACCTTTGCCTAGGTTGACTGCTCTTGTGGTGAGAACTCTGGCTCAAGTGGACAAATATGTGACAGTGGATCACGATATACTGTCCAACACAATTCGCTGGCTGATCACACAGTGTCAGAATCCAGATGGCTCCTTCAGTGAGAAATCCAGCTACAAGCCAAAAAGACTCATGGTAAACTTGCCGAACTTTTTATACTTTTATTTGACAGCAGGTTTGTGAGAAAATCTAATTAAATTTTAATTTTTTTCCTGAGGTTCAATTATGAAGGTTGTATAGATTTACATACCTAAAGCAGGCATGCTAAATCTTACATGATCATTTTCTAACCTCTCTTCATTCTACAGAATTAAACAGGCTGTTTTTCTTACTGTGTCTCTAAAACTAATGTGTGTGTGTGTGTATACACCGATAAGCCAAAACATTGTGATCATAAATGAAGAAATAATGTTGATTATTTTGTAACAGTGGAGCATGTTATGGTCTGGGATATATTAGATGGTAAGTAAACAGTTCACATAGTCGACGTGCTGGATGCAGGGGAAACGGGCAGGCGTGAAGACCTGAGCGACTTTGACAAGGGCCAGATTGTTACGGCCAGACAACTGGAACATCTCCGAATCAACAAGGCCTGTGGGATCCTTTTGGTCAGCAATGGTGATTACCTACCAAAGGCTATCCTGTCTGTTTGAACTGACAGAAGGGCTTCTGAGGCACAAGTCACACAAATTTTTAATGATGGTTATGGGAAGACTGTGTTATAACATACAGTGCATAGCCCCATATATAGCAGGGTGCAATGTAACCACAGACTAGCCAGAGTGCCCATGCTAACCCTTGTCCTGCTTTGTTGAAAGCGCCTACAATAGGCATGCAAGAGTCAGAACTGGACCTTGGAGTAATGGAAGTAAGTCACCTGGTCCAATGAGTGCCGTTTTCATTTACATGTTCCATTTACATGGGGACGTGATGGCACCAGGATGCTCTGCGGGAAGAAGCCAAGCCGGTGAAGGGAGTGTGATGCTCTTCGCAGTGTTCTGCTGTGAAACCCTGGGTCCGGGCATTCATGTGGATATCAGTTTGACACATGCCATCTACCTAAACATCGTTACAGACCAGGTACACCCTTTCATGGCAATGGTAGTCCCAGAAGGCAGTGGCCTCTTTCAGCAGGATAATGTGCCTTGCAACACTGCACACCTTTGTTCAGGACTGGTTTGAAGAACATGCTCAAAAGTTTAAGGTGTGGACCTGGCCTCCAAATTCCCCAGGTCTTAATCTAATCAAGCATCTGCGGGATGTGCTGGAACACGTCTGGTCCAAGGCAGCCCCACTTTGCAAAGTAATGACTTAATGGATTTGCTTCTGATGATTTGGTGCCAGATACCACAGGGCACCTTCAGAGGTCTTGTAGAGTCCATGACCCAGTGGATAGGAGGACCAACAGCATATATACATGTTTTGGCTTGTCAGTATATATACACATTATATATATATATATATATATATATATATATATATATATATATATATATATATATATATATATATATATATATATATTTCAAACTGCACAGCTATGTATTGTAATATACTTACGTATTATATATGCACAAATACACTATATACAAACATGTACATTTAAATATGTATATATACATTAACATTATATGTCCAAAAGTATTCAAACATCTTTCTAATTACTGAATTCAGAGCTACCCATTGCTGACACAGGCATTCCAGTTGCACACAGTTTGTATAATCTCCACAGAAAAGAATTTCCAATAGAATGGGACACTCTGGAACAGCCACACATAAAGCTAAGGTCACCATGCCCAATGCTAAGCATCTCCTAGAGGGATATAAAGCCCCCCAGCACTGGGCTATGGTGCAGTGGAACTGTGTTCTGTGGAGTGACTGAAACGCCATTCAGTACCTTTGATGAGTTGTAGTGCCGTTTGTGAAAATATCAACATCAATACCTGACCTCACTAATCCTCTTGTGGCTGAATGCAATCAAATCCTCACAGCAATGTTCCAACTTCTAGTATGAAGCCTTCACAGACGAGTAGAGACTGTTAGGTTTAGAAATTAGGTTAAATTAGTTAAAATTAGGTTAGATAAATATGTCAACACATCTCCTACAGTAAACAAACTTAAATTGTCTGCAAATTTTAGAGCACTTACTTGCTGAATATAACATAGTAGAAAAAACAGAAGTGTGTAGAGAAAGTGCTAACTTACATTCAAACACAACATAACGTAATGTCAACAGTGGCACCCAAACGTTAATGTATAGACAGAGGTTTTGAAACTTTTCCATTGTAAACATATTACATTAAAGTCTGATATTTAAAAAAAGTGTGTGAAAAATCAGTTTGGGCCCTTTAATTAAACAATGTTTGATAATCAATTAGTTACACCTTGAGTTGATACTCTAAAGAGGTAGTTATTCTACCATTTAGTAAAAAACAAAAGCCTGGATTCACACCACCTACTACCTCTCTAAGACAACAGAATACCTCTTTAGAGTATCATGACTATGGATGAGACATATTGAAGTCATTCGTGTTTTCTTGTATTTCACAGGGTGCGGGAGCAGATGTCACAGAGCGAACGGTCTATCTCACATCATTTGTGGTAATTGGGATCAAAAATGCCTTAACAGTCCCCAAGTCCAATTTACAGGTAAGAACAGAACATTATGATAAAATCTTAATATAGAATACTGTAGTTTAGTCATTTTTTTTCACAGTGAGGTAACAAGATGTGTCTCTGCAGATATATCAAGATGCACTGGAGAGGGCTGTGCAGTACTTGTCTTTACAAGTGCCAAAACTGAAAAGTTTATATGTGAGAGCCATAGCAGCATATGCCATGACACTTATCGACCTCAACAGCTGGCACGCAGTAAACCTGTACGAGAAACTTAAGAAAGAATCTCAAATTAAAGGTGAAAGGTTATGATTTTTACAGTCATTCAAAGCTCACAACACTTGAATATACTTGTATATAAAAATTGGTAGGCTTCTTACACTATTACAATAACATTGTATTTCATACAGGCTACTACAATAAAATACTCCTTTGCACTAATTGTATCACATATAATTAATCTCTGGATATGTCCAGTGTAATTCTTCTGCATTGTTGGGGCCCAGATATCACTGCATGGTAACAACTCTTGTAATATCCAGAGATTTAATAGCTATTGGTTTGCTTTGTGAGTTTAGGAAGCCCAGTTATTGTTCGCTTCTGGCAAGAAAAAGATGCCCCTCAGGATCCACTAAAGCCAAACAAGGCCACAGCATTGACAGTAGAGACCACTGTCTACATCCTGCTCAGCACCTTGCTTCGAGGAGACATAACATACGCTAAGCCTATTGTTAACTGGCTGACCCAGGATCAGCGCTATGGAGGAGGCTTCTTTTCAACCCAGGTATTCAGCCACAGTGAACTTATTTAAAGGGTCCATATCCCACATTTTTGATGTATTTTATTTTTTGCTTGAGGTCCACTTGTGACGTTTATGCAAGGAGAATTGTTTGTGATGGTGGTGGTGATAGAAAACAAGCATACAAAAGGTTTAATGCCTCTAAAAGTTACTTCACAGAAAGCTTTTACATGACATGGTTCCGAATTTGCTGCCAGATGGCTAAAATATTGCTTTATAATAATTCTGACATAAGCTTTTGGCCTAAAATCCATTTATGGTGGAGAGGTACATGCACGGCATTGGTAAGGCACACTAGTCCCCAAAAAAACATATTTCTTCAGATTTACCACTATTTTACATCATCACATTACATCTGGTTCTTATCACCACTGCTGTAAAGAAATTGGAGTTGGTTATTTTCTCTACAATTAACCATTTTGCACCAAACCACTCTGAATGATTATATTTCTTTATACATGAATTATTAAATTATAATATTTTGCAAAACCAGTGAAATTCCCCTTTATAGAGGATGATATATGTAAATTATTTGTGTTGTGACAGGCTGCCCTGTACTGTACTCACTTAAACCTGGTATATTTGCGGTTATTATTTGTCTCTGTCTAAACAACAGAAAACAAACATTATTTATGAAGCCACTGCATGTGTACTAAGACTTCATAATCTTTAGCAATTCTAAAATCTGTTACTCTAATCTGTTGCTCTATTTTCTAGGATGCTATTCTAACACTAGAGGCTGTGACCAAGTACAGAATCTTAGCTCAAAAAGCCTTTCTGCAAATGGAGGTCGATGTGTCCTACAGAAGTAAAGGCACAATCGGCCATATTAGTTTGTCCCAGAGTAAGCCTGTGGGGAAACCTATAGAGGTAAGATTGCTCCTTTTTCCAATTCAGTAACAGCTGAAAGTTTTTAGTTTGTGTATTTGCTATTAAAACAGCTGTTTTATGTTACTTTGAAAAGGTGGCCTATGCTGATGATGTCATACTGAAAACAGCGTTCAGTTCTGGGGTGTCATTTGCTAATGTAAGTGCATGTCATGCAAATATAACCTAAATGTCTTTTAATATGTACACTCCTAAAAACACATGCCAAAAGGGCCTTTGAGCAATGCCAAACTTTTTTTCTTCGGGGGCCAAAGTGAATATTTCTGGTGGAAAGAGGGCCAAAAGGACAATCTGAATCATTTTACCAAATTTGGATTTTTAATTGACTTGGATTTTAGACTAAAATCCTTTTGCTTGGGATGACCATATTCCTTAATTATTTTGATTTTATAAAAATAAATGATTGAATATTCCATTTTGTCACTACCAAAACAATCATAACACTACCAACTTTCAATAGTGACAATTTTAGCTAATTTTGAGCATAACTAAAAATGCCAGCCAGTACATGACCAGCAAACACCTCTTTAAACTGTTGTAGACATGTAAGATCACAATAGTTTTCATTAAAACAAAATAAGTTTACTTAAGTGCAGAAAATATGTGTTTTGGTAGTGACCTTTCTTAAGGTTACACACTGATTTTCAGACTTTGGGACATATTTACTTAAAGAAATGGGATCTAACAGCTCCCCATGTGGTCATGAGGGACAGGGATGTAGTCTTACTTCCTTCTCTAAAATGCAGGGTGTGGCTAAAATAAGGTTCCTCCTGTGGAAAACTCTTTGTTTCTGTAGTGACATGAAAATGTGGCACAGCATTTTTTGAATAAAGCTCATGATGATTCTAAATCTTTCAACTTCACTTTAAAGGAAATTAAAAAAAAAAAAAACTTTTTAAAGTTTAAGGCTATTTTAAGGACACTTTAAAGAAAGTATTTTTGAAAATATTTTTTTTTCCACTGTGAGACCAGTAACTAATTTGGTAGAATGGTCCATATACACATAATAAAGGTAGGTAAGTTAAATGAGTATTTTTATAATATTACACTATATGTTGTTGCTAAAATACTTTAAAAAATTTGATTTCAAAAATAAAAATAAGAACCTAATAATTCATGTGAAGTATAAAAATATGTTTGTTCTCTTATTGGGTGAGGGTGGCATTAGGGTCACTTTCTGGCAGACCAAATCAAATGTCCTCTTGGGCCAACATTGCTCTGGGGGCTACATTTTTGCCAGCCCTGCCATAGAAAAACCACCTTTGGTTCCCTAAAGACACTTTCAAGACACACTCCAACATTTTTCAATCTAATTCATATTAGCTTGATCTGTAGTTAAATCAATAACCTCAGACACTAAATTAGATCCCTGTACTTAGTAAAAGAACAGAACAAACATCGACTCAAAATATTAGAGAAACTAATGAGCAGAGGTTTTGAGTCAATGAGTTTTCTATTCTTTTACTAAGTACAGGCAAAAGTGTCCAAATTACTGTCACTGTCTACTGTCTTGGTGGCCATACACTGCAGATGTGGCAAATAAAGATTTGGTTGGAAACACTGGAACGTCCCATTAAAGAATCATTCATTTTTAGTAGATGTTGAATGGCACTGTTCCAAAGAACCCCTTGGACACCTTCATGTGTAAGAGTGTTACTTAAAAGGTCTCTTTTAGGCAACATGTTGCTTTTATAGATTCAGTAAATCACAAACACACAGTTCAGTCAGTAAAAATACTTATCAAAACCACTGTATGAACACTAGGTTATGCTTTTCCTTTCACAGTTAAGAACAGTGTACTATGAAACCATACAGAAAGATGAAAACTGTCACTTTGACCTATCCATAGATGTTCACCCCCGTGACCCAGCTGCCGATGGTAGGTTTATATGTGTCATACAATCAGACAGGTTTTCTTTTTATAAATGAATGTAGTTTAATGTAAAGATGGACTTCTGTTTGATCAGAACCTATGAAGCGGTCACCACGGATTGTTGCCTGTGCAAAGTGAGTTCTCAATTCAAATCACTTCTTTAGCAGTTTATAGTTAATGTTGTTTTATTAATCTGAGTAAGAATACAAAAATTAAAAGGACTTTATTGTGGAAATAATTTTTGCTTGTTGTTTTTAAATATGACTTTGATGTAGTAAGTTAACACTGCTAAAGCTTCAAAACACACACTTCACTCCATAGTCCAAACTGTCCATATAATGAACCAAACTGCTGTTCATTGTTTCTGTGAAGTCACAAAAAAAAATAACAACACATATGGGTCATTCTCCATTTCGAGCAGGAATTCAGGTGGATACATTTTTAAAAAAAATCTATTTCTTTCATCCTAAAACTAAATATTCTTAATATGTCCATTAACATCTCATATTATCATATATGCAAAAAGGAGAGCTTAATTCCAAACATATTTTACAGTCACTGGTGTTATATGAATATGGTGTAACACCAGTGACTGTGACACCAGTGACATTCTGGTTAAAACTGAGGATTTTGTAAAATGGCTGACTCATTGGTGGTCAGGTGACCTTGTGCAACTATTTAAAATCAGTAACAAAAATTATATGTGGTATTTTTTGACAAAATTTTAATTATTCAGCCATTAAAGCACATAACACCTGTGACACACAGACGTTACATGCTGCTGATAAACAAAATTGTTAATAAATTCATTAAATATAATAAGTGTCAACTTGCCTTTTGATGCCTTGAGATGCTTCCTCTGATGAGCCTTGACCCAAAGAAGCAGACCTGAAAATACTGTTAAAATGTAAAATAAGAGTCCTCATAACACTAGCGACCGAAATCTCCATTTTTTAAAAATAAAATACATACTTTTTAAGCAGTATAACGTTGATGATATAAAAAGTAAACATGAATCTGTTTTATACAAATTACTAAGTTAAACCTCTTAAAAATATTGTTTCATATTAAAAATTATTTCTCAAATGTTGAAAATTGTGAAAATTGGTTTTGATGAGCTGTTTTACAGATGCAGAACAACTATGAAACAGGATAAAAAAGAAAAATCAGAGAAATCATAAGGGAAAAGTATTATTTAATCTTAGGTCAACAGTGTAAATGTACCTACTGACTTTTGGAGCTGTGGCTAATATTTTAAGCATCTTTTTAAGCCCTGCAACCTTTGTGACATGGTTTCCCACTCCAAATGGAGAATGACCCATTTACATATATCCACCAGTTCAGCCTACAGCAACATGGCTCCACACATTCACATTGTTCACATTCACAAGTTATAAAGAGTGTTTCAGATTGGACTGCTTTTTGAATGAGGCACAATACAGAACAGCCAATCAGAACTGAGCTCATTTACATATAACAGTGTTAAAGACAAAGTATGTTTAATGCTAATGGAAAAAAAGAGGGTAGAAATAATAATGTAAAAAACAAATTAGGACTGTTTCCAGTACATAAAACCACTATAAATAACCATTATAAATGGATAATTACAAATTGACAGATTGTACTTTTCTTTTATCTCACAGATATAAGCCACATGAAAACGAGGTTGAGCTAGAGGCAGGACACACAGTAATGGAAATAAATCTGCCCACTGGTGTGAGTCCAGTCCTAGAAGATCTAAAAAGGGTAAGAAACTCCCCTCAGTGTTTGTGTTTGATGTTGCTGATGCCCAGAGATATTCAGCATTTAAGATAACGAAAAAAACTTTCTCTTTACCTCTTTACACTTTCCAGTTTAGGGATGGACTTGAGAGTCGTATCTCTGACTATGAAATAAATGGGAACGTACTTGTTCTCCAGATGGATTCAGTATGTAACTGCATTTTTTTTCATTAATAATAAAGATAACATTGCCCATCAGTACTGATATGTAAAATTCTCAAGCGCTTCTTGTTTGTCTTCTAGATACCCTCAGACGAGTTCTACTGTGTGGGCTTCCGAATTCAAGAGGTGTTTCAAACTGGCATGAACAGTGCCTCCCTGTTCAAAGTGTACGAGTATCATGATCCAGGTAAAGTGTCTCCAAAAAGCTTGCACTGGTTCTTTCTGACAACGAGTTTTGTTCATAATAGAAGTATAACAGTTAACAGATTTCTAGGTTCCATGTGTTTTTTGATATTTTGTGTTTAAAAATGTATTGATTGTACAGAACTTTAACTGTACACTACATTGACTGGTTTGGCTCAAAGTATTACAACTTTTATTTTACAATAAAACACTTTAAAGCAGCAAACTTGTGTGTAAAAAGTGATCTTATAAAATAGTGCCACTTAAGCTATAAATAATCCAAAAATCCTAACTGCCAACTAAATATCAATACACCACAAACCACAAGTTAAATATAGGCAAAACCTATGCTGAATCTGACAGTAAAGCAGTAGAGCAGTAAAGAACCTATATTCTACAATTTTGTTGTATTTTATTATCTTTTCCCCTCAACACCATTTATAATATTTGTGAGGTTTTGCGTGCCAAAAACAGCCATAATTAATTTTTACATGACTATTTTCCAGCCTCTCTTTTAGGGAGAGGAATTTGTGCCAAATTGAAAACCACTACAGTGGAAAATCATGAAATGCCATTACTTTTTCATAGTGACATACAAAATACGTGAAAAGCATTGTTGTTATTGCATTGTTTTCACATTGATTGCCCTCTTTACCGAAGAACAATGCATGAGGATTTGCATTTTGAAAACAAAATGCTGAATTCATGTCAGAACTGAATGCAATCTCTTTAAAATGTAATGAGGGCACAGCTATATTGCTTTCCACTGTACTTTAACAGAATTTCCTCACTGAGGTGCAATAATAACAGTGAGAACAGTGAAATACAACATATACAACATTACTTTTTCATAGGTGACATGTGAAATATGTGCCAAAATGAAAAGTAAAACCTCAATTACAATGTTTTCACATTGCCCGACCTCTGTTTTGGACTTCAAATGTATTTGCCTAATTGAAATGCAACCAAAACAGTGAAATGCAATGCACACACAAGATCGCATTTAAAAAGTAACATGGAAAATGTGCCAAATGAAAAGTAAAAGATCCATTATACTGATTTAATGTTGTTTTAAGTACTGCAAGGTGCAAAATAAAGCAATATAGTTATGCCTTAATTACATTTCAAGATGCAGTGTAATAAATTCTGACGAATCCAGCATTTTGTTTTTAAAATACAAATCCTCATGCACTGTTTTTCAGTAAAGAGGTCAAACGACATGAAAACAATGAGATTTTGTTTTTCATTTTGGCACAAATTCTGCATGTAACTATGGAAAAGTACTGTTAAGCCTCCATTGCATTTCACATTTTGTCCACTGTAATGACTGCTTTTCAGTTCTGATTCCTCTCCATACTCTTCATCCTTTAGAATAAAACAGTATTGTGACGTCAGCAGACAGTAAGACACAGGGGTGGCCATGATCCGCTGCGAGAAGTGCTCTTTAGTAAACACACCAACAAAAAGACACATACAAAACGTCAACCCCATGAGGGAGATCACCTGTAGCTACACAGCTCTCCCTGACAGTGACCCCCCTACACAAAACACCCACACAATGACCCCATTTCCCAACACAGATTGACACATTACCACACATAACCTAAACTAACAACAACCAATACTAAACAACACAATAAGTCCCTTTGTCTGAAGGCGCGCATACCATGAGCCTTTGCATGTGGCCAGCTGCATAACCACACCTTCAGAATCTCTTGGCGCCAGCGCAAGCCAGTAGCCGGTCGCTAGAGTCGGTTCTTTTACTGCACCTTTATGACCAGTGGATGTGGATGAGCTCTGCTATTACGGGCTGCCCTATTTGTGCCTGACATACAAACTGACATAGTTAACACCTAAAATAATTTGGGCATTTCAGTGCCATTGTCTTGGAATGTCCGATGATGTTACCCAAAATAATTACCCAGTACTAAATACCCAGAACTTACGGGACTGTAAAAGTAACCAAAGAGTGTTATCAAAATTGTTCCACTCTGTCCATACTAATTAAATAAATAACATATGCTGTATGCTGCATTATAATAATGCTCTTTACTTGCTTTTCTACAGACAACCAATGTTCGAAGTTCTACTACACACAGAGCCGCAGACTTCTCCGTCTCTGCAGCGGTACACAATGCCAGTGCATGGCAGGTAACCCTTACTGTTTCAAACTTTTCCTTTGATGCTGACTTTGAACCAGTGATTGTGACCTTCATCAGTTTCAGCTTCAAGACAAACATCAAAAGTAATCTTGTGTAGCAACATTGACTAACACATCACAAACTAACACATGGCCATAATACAAAATTCAATGTATTTTATTGTATATGACTGTCACTGTTGATAATATTGGTAACTGAGAAATGTATCGATTATTTCCAAGATTAATTGATTCATCCGTTTTTTAAAAGCCAATTAAAAAAAATGGGATTATATGAGCAACAGCAAACTTATGCATAGCTTTACAAAGATTCTAAAATATTTTACTGGAAAGTAGATCAACTAAAATATATTTTAAAAGATTTGTATATAAATAATACGCTAAATGGCCAAACGTATGTGTATGTGAATTGTTGAGATCAGGGGTTTCAGCCCCATGCATTGCTAACAGGTGTATAAAATCAAGCACATAGCAATGCAATCTCCAAAGACAAACAGTGCCAGTAGAATGGGTTGTACTGAAGAGCTCTGTGACACAGAAATGCAAAATATTCCGACTATTCGAATATCTAACAAAAGGGAAACAGGAAACCTGTGACACTGTGCAGGATGCTTTCCATTTTAGAAAAGCAAAAGGTGAACGGAGAGTTTCTCTGCCTCATTCAGGAGCTAGCACCTTCAGGAACTCTCTCACTCACAGCTCGGAAATCAGTAAGATGTTGGAGATGAAATCTGATTGCTGTGTGGTATGAAATATGCAAATCTGCTCATTACATGGCAACAAATTACTGTTTATTAAGTCGTCTGCATTTTGTTTTGCACAGTAGTCTGTCCATATTGCTATTAAGCATTTGTCATGTTCCTCATGTTCTTCTGATCCTCAACCATGTGCTCACAGACACAGATCACATGCCCGGTGACGTACTGCATGGGGAAGAGTTTTGGTTGTACTGGGAGGGGTTTTGGTTGTCAAATGTGTCTTAGAGAGACAGATGCGTTTACACTGCTATAACATGTGACTCAATTGCATCTCAAACCACCTCCTGAAGTGGTTTGAGCAATAGGATTAGCATCTGATTTAAATATGTCTTGGGTGCGTTTATACTTGCATTTATATGTGGCTTGGCCTCATCCAGATATAATCTTGATACTCAAGACGCATTACAATGACCAGGTGTAAACGGGGTCTCAGGTATCTCTAGTTTGAGCTGCTTTTAGAGCTTCTAATCATTCTAATCATTCCAATAATCTAATTAATCATTCATCATTTTAGTTACCTCCATGCCAACACCAGAGACAACAGTGATTGTTCAGCATTTCCTGTCTCTGGCGAAAGTTCGCAAAAATCGAAGAGGGTGAATAAATTAATGACGCATTTTCATTGTCTGAAAAATCGAGTCTGGTGTACAAGATACCATATATATATACATGCTCTCATTAACTTAATGCCATCCAAATAAAGTGCACGAATAAGTCACATTTGGTGTATAAAACCCTTTGCTGTAATAAAGACCAGTAGGAGAATTTTAAATAGTTGTTATCATCAAATTGTGAACTAATCACTGCCAATTCATCAAAAAAGTCAATTTAATTGATGATTTTTTTTTTACACCAAGTAGTCATATCAACTCTAATGCATCTCTATCTGTATAGGTCAACACTATACATTGGAGAAATTTAGGTGGCAGTTGGAAATTGGTGACAGCTAACACCGTGGTCATTTTAATGTTGAAAAGATAATTTAACAAACTGTTTATTGTTAGTGCACTGATGTGAATTATTCTTGAACTGCTCTCTTCTGTAGCGGAATGCTGTAAGTTCAAAGCCAGCATTGATGATAAGATTACTGCTAAACAGAAAAAAGAGGACGTGTGCAGAGACAGCATAAAATATGGTAAATAACAACATACATAGTACATAATATATAATTCTATATAATTTAAATTTATTTGTCATTAAAGACATTCATGTTTTGAAATTTCCCTCAGCTTTTAAGGTGAAAATTACATCAACTACAGCCGAAGGAGATTTTCTGACATACAATGCAAATGTGGAGCAAACACTTAAAAAAGGTAGCTACAGTGTTTTACTCCATCTTCTGGAAAATACAGTACCTTGCTGAAAATTATCCTTATCTAATTTCCTACTCATATTCTCTGCCACAGGATCAGAGGACATTAAAAAAGACTCAGAGATCGGCTTTGTGAAGAAGGCAACTTGCAGTTCGACAAATCTGGAGATTGGAAAGCAGTACCTGATTATGGGTGCGGAGATCATGCAGCTTCGAGTGAACCGCAGTTACAAGTGAGTTTATCAACTTTACATAATTTCTTCTAGCACAAAATAATTCAAACTAACTAATCCAAAGATAATGGCCATAGGCATTATTCATACATTAGATATAGATATAGAAATAATTACATTTTGTTCTTGTAACCATGTTTTATCAGGTATAAGTTTCCTTTGGACTCCCAAGCTTCAGTGGAGTGGTGGCCAACTGACTTTGACTGCCTGGATAGCCGTTGCAGAGATTATGTCAACGTTTTAAATGACTTTGAATTTGATTTCACTTTTGAAGGTTGTAATGGCACCTAGATAGCTTCACTCTATAGATCTGCTTAATTCCATATTTACTATATTAATGCTGTAATTTCTGGAAGGAGATATGTTTAAAATATGTACATTTTCCTCTTTCTAGCAGAGTGGTTAGGTATCCCTGATGTTTTTGAACAGCATATGATAAAATACTACTACATCTGAAATTGTAGTTTACATAAAATGTTGCATAATAAAAGTCTTGATTCATTTGTCTGTGTCTTTCTTGCCAATTTATAGACTGTCTTTACAAAGGAAATATGTTACTGCACATTCAAGGCATTGCTCTAGCATGTTTTAGCATGGAAAGGAAAAAATAAATAACATTTTATATTTGATCATATTTGCTAATTCAGAACTGCCCTATTTAGTTCAAAGAAGACCACAACTGAAAGAAATTTTACAGTTTTCCACTTTAAATACTTGAAATGGAGACCATCATTATGCAGGGAAGCAGTATTGGTGGCCACATGTCCTACAATATATAACACATCATATTTTTATAGGGGGTGGGCAACATAATTATAAAATCAGTAAACTATAATGGAATTATGTGAGACTTACATTTTTCACTCACTGCTCTATATGGTTATGGAAAAAAATACATACCAAGCAGACTCTAACCGCAATGCAATGGGCATGCTTTGGCATGGCATGTTCTTTATGTGATACAAGGACACAAACTGAACACTCAAAGTTGCAAAAACATTCACTGGCTTGTTGAAAAGTAAATTAATACCATAAATATGCATTTCATTCCAACTCATTTTACACTGTATATTGCATTTATTTGCCCTGGATAATGTCCAGCAGAACATTAACCTTACAGAGTAAAATGGGTAATTATGAACCTCTTGGCTCGCCATACACAAGGTCACGTGACAAAAACACGACCGCGAACTATTTGATTTACAGTTGTTTTTAGTGAACGTGTCGTCGCATAACATGCTTACGAAATCCTGCAAGTTTAATTAAGCCTTTACTAATAAAACGGTGTCTGTTTATTGTATTTCTCTCACTTCCCAAAGATGCAATGCGAAAATATCTCTCTATGTTTACCTGGACAGCTAGCTTTTAGCTAACGGCAGCTAATGTACATCCCTTTGTGTATTTCAGTCACCATGGAGACGGCACAATTAAGTTAGCAATCCAGCTTTACCCACAAGCTAACGTTAGCCTGCTAATTCGCAAGCAGAACACAACGCTGAGGAATGGTAAGTAGCTAACTAGCTAAAATACTGTTTAAATTATGTTATTAACTTTACAGTCACTGGCATTAATAGAGTAAGCAGCCAGGTTGTTTAGCTAGCTAGCCAGCTAACCTAGCAGACGAATGGGCCATTTACTCAGCTTACTTTAGCTAACTGGGACTAAAGGGCTGTTATTAATTATAACTCTCACACAAACACGTTATCTGAGCCGCTTTTCCTCCTGGGTCGCGGGGGTGCTGGAGCCTATTGAACTAAAACAACATGACGTAATATTTAAACCAAAAGTCTCGTAACTGCTTGAAACATCCGCGCTAGCTAAACTAGCTAGCTAGCTCGCTAGTTAGTCGCAGCAACGTAACCTTAAGTTAGCTTTGTTGGTTTTGTGTTTAGGTTTGTATTGTAACTGCAACGAAAGCTATTTTTGACAAGCTATAAGTTAAACCTATCACAGCAGTTATTCTCTCTTTCAGTCGGTTAATATGAAACGAATAAGCGAGTCCCATAGGAACCCGTCCATGCAGAGACAGAGAGCCTCCCGGAGAGTGTTAAGGACAGGTTCCCCACCGTTCGATGACCGCAGCAGGTGTTTGACCTCATCCTACCTGAAGTCGGCTAGCCATTTGGATTTGACTGGAGAGAGTGAAGATGCAGCTAAGGATGCACTCAGTGATGATGGTAATCAGGACATTACATTTTTTTTTTAATCTTGGTTTGGCCGTCTGTCTGTTTCTTTGAACCTTTCTGGAAATTTTCAGAAGGTTCCAGATTGAGAAATTTTTAGTGAAATTTCCCATAACCTGTAATTTTAGCATCAAGTGAACACCTTATAAACGTACAAAATATGGTTTATCAAGGGTTCTTTAGTAAAGAAAATGGTTCTAGATAGAACCATGAACACTCAAAGAACCTTTTGCATGGTTAAAGGGTTCTTTGCATCGTGAAAAGGTTCTTCAAATTAATGAAGAACATTTTAGAAAAGGGCTCTATAAAGCACCAAAAAGGGTTCTTCTATTATTACAAGCTTGACATCTTCATAACTGAAGAACCCTTTCTGGTGCTGTACAGAACCATCCACAACACATTCTCCATCAATCTGAAGAAGCTTTCACAGTGCAAAAAACTTTAATCTTGCAAAGGGTTCTTAGAACCTACATAGAATTATTATTATTTTTTAAGAGTGTAGTATCTCTACAGAATCATAGGACTATAGAATAATGGCAGTGCTGGTGTCACATATACACACTTTTGGTTTGTAGATGAAAGGAAATGCATGGGAATAAGATACATTACAGAAGATCTGATTAAGAAGTTGACTAAACAAGATAATTTAGCCCTTGTGCAGTCCTTGAACCTGTCCAGTATTCATGGAGATAAATACTTCAGGGTAAGATTTTTTTGACTACATATATACATATGTTCATCAGACAGTTTGTTCAGTAATGAGATGATTTTTTATTGATTTGTTGTGCTTTTTACGTGTCCTAGTACATTGAAAACTTGGAAAAATGTGACCGTCTTCAGGTTCTCAACCTCAGTTACAACTGCATTGAAAAAATTGAGAAGCTGGAGAGGCTTCATAAATTGCGAGAGCTGCATCTTTCCAATAATAGGATAAAGTAAGTGGTTACAACATTATCCTTTTTTGAACCTTTTCAGAAAAAAATGTGATTAGTATATTACTGAAAGTGTATTTATAAGGTTATTTTCTATCCTACAGGAAAATTGAAGGCCTCGAGCATATGGCATGCCTTCAGATTCTGAATCTGGCCAACAACAGTATTGAACAAGTGCCTCTCTGGTTAGCAAAAAAGCTCAGATCCCTTCAGACGCTGAACCTACAAAACAACAAGATATTTTCGGTTGGTTCAGCTTTGACATCATAATTTGTGCTTGTTTATTTGTGAATGCCATGACATAACTTAAAACATACATTGTCTTGTGTTGAACAAAGGCTGGATTGTGTTGTTAAAATTGGAATTTAATGGTAGTTATATGATTATATGTCACTTCTCACTATCACTTTTTTATCTAGCTGCATGAGCTGTCCAGACTGAAGCATCTGAAAAACCTTACCAAGCTGATGTTAGCAGACAGTCCTGTATCTGACCTAGCCCACTACCGCCTCTTCTTAATTTTCCATCTGAGGTCACTAGAGGTGCTGGATGGAGAGAGAATCAGCGAGCATGAGAGAGAGCAAGCCCATCTGCGCTTTCACACTGGTACAGCTACCTATCCTATTGCTTTGCACATTAGCTCCCAAAGTAAATTGGTGTTTCACTGACTTGAGCCTCTGCTTTCTGGTTTGCAGAGGAGGTAGAGCGTCTGGAGCAAGAGCTCGAGGAGAGAGGGGCAGAGATAGAGCAGCTTCAGAAGGACAAGGCTGCAGCTCTGGAGGAACTGGAGCAGCAGGAAAAGCTCCAGCAAAGGCTGTGGGTGCAGAGTGAGGAGCAACAGCAACATCAGGAAGAACTCGAAAGGGAGCTAAATACCAAGTCTGAACTGGTGGGAAATAGAGTTTGCTTGCTCCCCCCAACATGCTGATAGTAATATTAGTGGCTAATATACTGTGATATAAAAAATGCTTATGCTTTTTCTCATTTCTAGGTTACTGTGATACAGTGGATAAGCTCCAGAATTTTTCAGACTGTTTAAAAAATTATAAGTTTAGGAGAGCTGCTCAATGTCTCAGTGCTTAAAGGAGTAATAGGGTGTTTTTTTCAACTACACCTCTGTCTACCACGTGTTTGATAGTGTCTATGGTAATTGAGACCAATCTCAGTATGTTTCCCTATACTTAGACTTAGACTTAGCAAATAGAATTCAAAACATACTAGAAGTGCTGAAAAAGCTGCCCAGTTACTTCTGTTTCAGTTGTTATTTTTCATATATTGACCGAACAATATAGATCCAGCAGATGGAGCTTAAATTGAAAAATGCCAGAATATTCTTTTAACTTAACTCTAACCTCTGCTTGCTTGCTTCCTTCTCTTTTTCCTTTCTCTTCTTTGGACCTTAGCCACTTTCTTCTTCCATTCTTTCTGCTCCCCCCTCAGTTCTGTCAGCTATTTTAAAGGTAGTGCTAAGTAGTGGATAGAAAATACGTTTTTTGTTGTATTGACATTCATCAAGCAGTCTTGCTATGATTCTTCATTCATATATTAACTCCATTAGCTCTCCATGCAAGCAGTGCTGTGGACCATTATTGGTGTTCTCCAGAATCTTGACCTGTCTACATTTCTGAATTTCCCTGTCTGTATATGTTATATAGAGTCTATACATGCTGTTGTATAAACAGTTTACATGCCTCTTCTGTGTGCATGACCTCTTTTCTGACTCTGCTCTTCCATGCTGCATTATTCTCAGCCTCCATTACCTGCTCTACTGCTGGATTCTTTCTGCAAGGTATTCAGTTGTGCCCAGCCAGTTACTATTGCATCATATGGACCAATGCTCAATGTCCTTGTGAAGTGACACATACATGACTTTCTCCTGTGCTTCCAGGTGCTTACTTAAAGGGTGATATTGATGGTATGGCACTGCCATATTCATAAGCATGCTCCCATAGTTCCTGCATGCTTAAGTCAACATGTGGAAAATGTTATTGCATAGACCACATACATCAATGTAACTCTTACTATTAATGTGTACTTTTGCTTACAACTAATACTGAATAAGATTTCATGGAATTTGTTTGCAGTGCAGTGCATGTGTTGAGGCTTGTAACTCGAAATATCGACTCTAAACCGTGCTTGGTTCATTTTCCAGCTGAAGCAAAAGACCTCAGAGCTGACCCGGGCCTGCCAGAAGCAGTATGAGCTGGAGCAAGAGTTGGCCTTTCATAAGATTGATGCTAAGTTTGAGCCAATTCCATTTTATCCAAGTCAGGTAAGCTTCATCAAAATCTTCTTCAATGGTTTGAAGCTAGTGCTATTAGTACATGTATTTGTTTAGAAATTAGCTGAGTATATTATAGATTGGTAAAGAGTTCCATAATACCATATGTTTAATTTTCTGTCTGCATGCTGTAGCAGCTGGGCATTGAAAAAGTGTCTGGTTTACTCTTTTTTATGTTGTTTAGGAACTAGAGGAGGACATTCTGCCAAATGAGAGTCCTTACATTGGAAAGGCTCGTCATAAAAGGAGCATGCTCACACCAGACAGCATAGATACGGGGGACAGACATTTAACCCCAGGGGGTTTGGCACTGACAGAAAGCCCAGGGGAGGATGCGCCCAGGCATGCCATAGAGAGAGGTACTGAAACTCAGTTCAAGTACGTGTTGTGTCCACTTAATGTTACTTGACCTTTAAGGTACACTATGTAATATTTGGCAATTTGGAGACCTCTTTGGTGGAAATGTGTAATTGCATTCAACGTGCAGAAGAACCTTTTTTTTAACGTCAGTTGTGCTTCTGATAATTGCAAGCATGTTGAACTCGAAACTTAAGTTTAGGACGTGTCTTCCGAGGATGTAAGTGAGTTATCTACTCTGGCATCATATCCTCATCAGTATAATGTTGATTTTGCATTCAAGACCTGAACATTGAGCCGGACCTGCTTTTGGAATCTGCATGTGACATTAATGTATTAATGTGATATTAATGAAAACTCCCACAAAATCCACCCTGACACATTTTTCAGTTGTTATTATTATTTTAGGTTTTACAGGGTGACTCAAAGCAGTGCACGCACACCATATTTTCATGTGTACTTTTTTCTCTTGACTCAGTAAGACTATTTTTTCCTGTTTTAGTGATAAAACATCTTACATAGTGCAAATTTGTTTGCATTGCTTTTACATAAGTGCTTAAGAAAGTAACTGATATATCAATATTTTTGCAATATTAGTAGATAACTGGCAATGAAGCCATTATAGTTACTGTCTCTGATGTCCCTAAAATAGACATATACTATGTAAGGGTTGGTCTGATTTTAAGAGAAGAAAATGGAACAAAACAGTCTAATCAAAACACACTATGTCAGGTTTGTAAGACATTCTTTTAGCATAAGGTACCAGCACTCTGCATGAATTTGTGAACTATTAATGTGAACAGAAATATTATCAATTCTTTCATACCATCATATATTTGAAAAATGTCATGATATTGGATTTCATCAGTAACGTCTAGCACTAAGAGTAACTGACAGTATAAAGTACATGCTTTTCCATTTGTACATCACACTTAACAATCTGGGTGTACCCACACTGAAAACACTTGCTAGTTTTGAATTTTTTTTGTTATCGGTATAGAACTGAATTGTATTACTTTTATGTCCATGTTAATAGTTTGTACATTGGACCAATAAAATTGACCCAGCATGTTTTTTAATCAGTAATACATGCTGCATTTGTAGCAGAAGAGAGGTTGCAGCAGCTGCATAAGGAGATAGAGAACAAAGAGCAACAGATCCTGAGAGCCAGCGAGGAGCTACGCCAGCTAGAAGAGGCAGCATCCCAGAAAAGAGTAAGATTGCTGTTGTCTAATGAATGTAGACAAAAGAGTGACTAATAAAGCTTGGGATCAATGATCAGTTCATAGACTTTAAGAGGTTAACTAGAAAATTCAGATTTCTTTTTAGTCCAAGGCTTAAGGTAAGTTTGTAGAAACTTTCCCACAGATCCATTTAAATTAAAATGTAATGATTTTGAATGTAGCTTGTGTTTTTGGTAATAGTGGCAGACATTGTAGTTCCACTACTTGTGGAATCTTACAGATTTCTGAGGCAGAGAAGGAACATCTGAGGCAGCAGCTGCGTGGGAAGATACAGGGGCTGGGGGAGCTGCGGAAAGAGGCGGAGGCCCTAGAGAAACAGCTGGAAAGGCACAGAGCTGAGTATGGCCAGACTCAGGGGGAGCTGGAGCAGCTCCAGAGCTTACTGCAGTCGCTGGAGCCAGAAGACCCCAGACATGTTAGTAACACTGCTGCCACCATGCCAGCAAGTTATACCTGTTGCTACCCATTAACTTTTATGTCTTATTAAGCAATATATCTTTGCTGACATATCAAAATCTCATCACTCAATTTCATATTTTTGTTTTTTTATATTTTTGGTCCCATTTGAAGACACCAGCTGCTTGTTACATTGCCCTGTAGAGCCTGAAATAATAATTAAAAAATCAGAGGTGTTGGGATGGATTTTGCAAGAGTTTTTCAGACCATATCATACATCTTTGTGTATTAACAGCACACACAAAGAGTCTGGATTTGAGTACTGTTTGAGTACTGTACCGCAAAATGTTGTTCAGCATGTTGCATGCAATTACAAATTTCCAGTTCAGAGGGCTCCAAATCCCCATAAATACACATAGAGAATTCAGTCAAAACTTGGTGAAGAATGTAAGTGAATTATCTGCTATTGTCTTCATAATATATATCCTAATTTAATGTATGCACATATTTAATATAATGTTGATTTTGTGTTTGAGACCTAAATCTCGAGTCTGACATTCATTTTAAGCCTGTCCGTGTGACTTAATGATGTATGACGTGGTCCAACAGACTACCACAAAATCAGAACCGACACCTCTGATACCTCACTCGATACTTTTTTCAGTTTCAACAAAACAACTTATATAGGGCAGCTGTAAGGACATTTTTTCTCTTTTAAGCAGCAATGCGTACAATATAAGATTAAAGGTAAAGGGGCAAAGATGCCTGTTTAAACTGCAAAGATGTTATGTTCATATATACCATGTCATTTTGTTTGCTTTTCCTCATCTTTTCTCTGACAGACTTGCTCTCCCAGATCAAACAGCCTAAAACAAATATTGAAACCTGGTTTCAGTTAGAAGTGTATTTGTTTATTGCTGAACAGTTGCAATGCAATAAGAAATTTCCTGCAGTAGGTGTTTCTTGTTTCCAAAACATAGTGAGCTTGAAAAAAGGATCATTTAAGTCTTAAAACAGATGTACTTGCAAGCTTGACAAAGCAGCTGCCCGTAATGTTGCCCTGGTTTCATACTGAAAACAAAACTTGTGCATGGAAAACAACATGATAGGCATCCCTATGGAATACATGGTTAGTTAGAGGCGCCTAATAGGAGTGTTGTAAGCAACATGATGTAGGTGTATGTCTCTTTAAGAAAAAGGGAAGACTGTTCTGTGGGGAATTTGGGAGGAGTCTAAAAAGTTCCTCACTCCCTCTTAGCAGGGTATTGTCATAGCCCAGTCTCAGGCAACGATTGGTGGGACAGAGAGTTTCCTGTGTTGATTCAAAGCAGGCGCTAGAGGGAGAGGGAGGAAAGCACAGAGGATCAGTGTGTGTGCATTGAAGGGGGGGCTGAAGTCCAAAGGAGGGGGCAAGTCAGACGAATGCTTCCTAGCTAAAAGTTTACAGGGAGAAAAAGAGGAGCTAACAGAGGCAGGAAATGCTAGAGCTCAGCACAAAGCCACCCCGTAGGCTCTCCTGGGGCAGTTACAGTGGAGAATGGGATTTGTGGTGATGTGAACCAAACAACGGCTCTGTTTTAGTAAGTACCCTACTGGAGCAAGGGAGGGGCGCATGGTTTGCTTCTGACATTTTTTCCGCATGATATGCACATCTGTATTTAATATGTTTCTGTTCTTGTGCTTGTTTTTCGCATCAAGTTGCATTATTTTATAATATGGCGTACACTGGCAGTAGTTGCACACGTCATGTAACTTTTTTTCTGTTTCATTCTGTTTGGTAAGTTTGGTGCTCTGGTTATATTCTGGGAATGTAAGATTTGAGAAGATCTGAGATTTTAGTTTTGACATGAGTTTTGCCTATAAAAGAATGAAAAGTTTCTTTTTAGCTATTATCAATAGGCTAAATAAGAGTTCTTGTTATCTATCTTTTAAAATAGGCTGCACCACAAGTACAGCGTCATGGAAGAAGCATGAAAAGATAACACAAAGTGTTCCTTCATTTGCACAATATGCAGCATAGGATCAAAGTAATGATATGTTGTTCATGCTGTGGAAGCGTGATGGTGGAAGTAACGGATGGGGAAGTTGATGAGGTGGTGTAATCTCAGAATAAACAGTGCAATGTACGGCGGTGCAAAACATGTTTGGCTATATGTGATTGGAGATCTTTCTTTTTTGGATGTATATGGTTAATGTAATGGGTTAAAGTAAAATATGACCCGTTTGACCATGTTCTGCACATTGCGCTTTCTTGTACCTAGCCCTTTGTCCTTTTGCTGTTCTGAAAAAATCTGTCCATTGACAGTTAGTAATGTACCCAATGTCCACTGATTTATTTATTTCTTTATTTTTTTAATCACCTGTTATCTTAGAGAATCAGCTCCTAAGAATAAAATAATGAGCGTAGATTATAAAACCCATTCCCAGTGTGTTAAACCTCTGTGCCTCCTGCTTTCTCACAGACTCATGTGAAGGCTCAGGTGGCCAGTAAGAGTCAGCTGCTGGCCATGATGAGCAGGAAGCATCGCGAGCTGGAGGGCCGGCTGGATGACATGCTTACACGCATCACCAAGGAGACACAAGAAATCAAAGATTTGGAACAACAGCTCACAGAGGGTGAGGTTGGAGAAACGCAAATTAAACAAAACAAATCCTTTCTATGTTTTGATTTTTGATCATCATAATTTAATTTCTAGCAAAATAAAAAAAAAACTCTGGGAAATTTACAGTGACAGAGTGATGGATCAACCCCTTAGGTGACCAGAACCTGTCAGCAGTTTCAGACCTTTACTACTATAACTTATAAATATCTCAGTTGGTTACAGTTGTTTTCCATATAATTCATGGAATTAGCCAAATAGTAAGCTTGGGAATTAAGGGGTTAAAAGGGCATCACATTCTGGAAAGAACATATGGACATTTTTCAGATTAAATTGTTTTTGATTATTTTCTTTACACTTCCAGGTCAGATAGCAGCTAACGAGGCATTGAAGCAGGATCTAGAGGGCATAATCTCAGGACTGCAGGAGTACCTGTATGGGGTGAAGAACGAAGCTCGACGGGCCCAGTCTGACTGCCTGCACCTACAGAGGGAGAGAGACGCTCTGCAGCGTCTCCTACAAGACAAAGAGCAACAGCTCAGCCAACTGCAGCGAGAAGCACTGCAGATTAGTGAAAGCACAAAAGAGGTGACAGAGGAACATTGTCGTATATATTTGCTTTGCACTGAAACGCACTCTTCCGACCTAGTAAATCAAATAAAGAGATTAACCAGCACCGGCTTTTCATGAGATCCATCCTTTCTGATAGTTGGAAAAGTCAGTACTTATTACAAGTAGCAGCAGAAACATGTGCTTGTGCTTTTTCTTACTTTTGCAGAAGAGTGATGTTGATTGTTTTAAACAGACTTGTTTGCATTAAAATTACATGATAAAGTTCAACTAAAGGTAGTTGGTGTGATTTGGGCAGGAATTGTTGCAACACCAGGAGGAGTTGGAGGCTCTGAAGAGGGAAAATGTGGTGCTGAGGCAGGCTCAAAGCCGGGTCAGCGCCTACGAAGCTGAACTGGAGGCTCAGCTGAGGGAGAGAGACACTGAGGCTGGCCAGCTGAAAGAAGAGTTGGGACATCTGCATCGGCTCAGTCAGGTGCAATACGTACCATAACCATATTATGAGGTGTATCTGTTTTTTATATCCATTTATGCATTGCCTGGTTAGCATGTAATCAAATATACATCACTGCTGTAAAATTGAATGGGCAGTTCTTTCTGAACGAGTAACAGCATTACTTAAAGTTGTCTTTTAACCCTAAGAAGGCACATTCTTGCATGCAATTTACAAAAGACTGGTCTAACTTGAAAGTATTGAAACAAGCAGAGAAATTCTGTAGAAAGTGTGATTTGTAAACTTTTATCTGATACCACTAGATAAAACATACACATTATGACTTGAACGTGATGAGTTATTTCTATGCAAAAAATCTTGTTAATCGAATACTTAACTAAATAATAATTGCATAATTATATAATTAATTTTATATACTATAATTTGATAGCTTTACTTCTACAAATCTACACTTATAAAGGTTAACTTACAGTTCATGGTGTACCATATATTCCAGTGACTGTTGTTACTGGTTGTAGCCTCAGATCTAACTTTGCATGCCACTTTCTAAGCTGTGTTATTACTTGTAGCTGGAGCATTCTGCGCTGCAGGCGGAGCTGCAGAAGGAAAGGCAGGCTAAAGAGAATGCTCTGGCCCAGCTGCAGCTGGCTGCAGAGAGAGAGTTGGAGAACAATGAGCTCCTGCAGCAGCTCAACACAGTACAGGTGTGTTCCCATATACAGGTGTAACAATTGGCAAATGCAGTCTTATCTGTTTGCTGTTGCCATGATCACTTGAGCAGAAATAATGTAACTCATAGACTGTAGGCTGTTTGCTTTTCCACCTAATGTGTCTATGTGTTACTGCAGAGGGAGAAAAGAGATCTAATGGAGAAGGTCAGTGTCCTCCAGAATGACTTGCAGAAGGTCAGGAGGGAGCTGTTGTGCCCTAAACAGGTGGCCAAACGTTTGGGTGAGCTAAGGAGAAGCATAACCAAAGGACCAGGAGAACTAAGGTATAACAACCTGGTAGTAGACAGAATTACAAGCCTGAACACAGTAGACAGCATTACAGGGATATGAATCTCTGATTTCGCAATAATTTGATTTGATTATTTTGGTATGATTCAGAATTACCTTTAAAAATACACTTGAAGATCTATTTACACAATTTACACAGTGGTTAAATTACAGTACACAAAGCTTTTTTACCTCTATAAATATATATCAATATATAACCCAAGAAATAAATAACACACGAAATAAGCACATTTATTATAAAACATCATTATAAACAATTATAATTGGTACTAAAATGAATATAGATGAATCATCACCTAGAGATTGAATTTTTTATGCCCCTAATGCATTAAGATATACAAATGAATAGGATGGTCAGCTGAATAGGCTCATAATTGATGGCTCTGCTCACAGCAGGATGAGTGAGGATGGAGATCTGCTGGGTGAGAGCTTGTCTAAACTGCAGGAGGAGCTGCATCGCACCATCTCAGCTGCTTTCAGAGACCGTGAAGAGGCCCAACAAGGTCAGGACAGACTAGCACATGAAGTGACTTCCCTCAGAGACAGGCTCAGGAACTACCAGCAGAAATACCAGAATGCACGTGAAGAGGCTGAACAGGCCAGGGTGAGTAGAATTTTTTTTTTTTATCTGGCCTTTCTCTAAGCACAATTGGCAAATTGGTAATATCAATTGTTATTTTCAAATGATTATTTTAGGTCACAGAGTGAGTGCTATAGTTTTATAGGGATTGCTAAAATTACAGTTTCTCTCAGTGTATTTTAATAAATTTGAACTCATGTGTTTTCCTAATATCTCCACCAGTGCTGGGAAGTGACGGTTCTACAGTTTATTGTTCTCCCCATCTAACATACCTGATTCAGTTCTTCAGCTTCTTAGCTAGTCATTATAAACTGAATTAGAAGTGAATCCAGCTGTTGCATGCAGGGATCTACTGTTCACTGGTCCATCCATCAAGCATTCCATATATGGCATATGTTTCATATGTAGTTGCCATTGGCTAGCTATTCCAGTATGATGCCACAGCCACTTTCTGTTCCCCCAGCAGGCAGCAGAGAGGCGTGGGGAGGAGGCTGAGCTAATCAGCCTGAAGGAGGAGCTGCAGGAGGCACGAGAGCAACAGTACCTGATGATGCAGCGTCTGCAGGAGGCTGAGAGTGAGAGAGACCGCCTCATCACTGAACTGGAGGAGCAAGACAAGCAGGTGTGTAAGAACAAACTGAATAGTTCATTTGTTGAGGAGGGGAAAAACGTATTAATATGTGATTGATTTAACCTTCTAAAAATGCTCAGAAACTAATGTGTATTTATTGAAGATATGTGTATTTGTGTGGGTAGATGAAGGATGAGGAGACTCACACCCAGGAGCATCTGCAATCTCTGGATCTGGAGTTACGGGAGCTCAGAAGATCCTTCACTGCTGCAGATCAAATGGCTGCCCAGCAACTAAACGCTGCTAAGGATCAGCTCCGCTCACTCCACAGCACTGTGCAGAAAATCAGCCAGGAGAGAGCAGAGGTACAGTCAAACAGTTTGAAACCAAATGCTTTTATGTTGAGGATTTCAGTCGTTTTGTATCCGACACACTGAGAACTTCAATTATGTTATTTGCGTGTATAGGATGCAGAGGAACTTAAAGAATCAAAGATCCAAGCTGCTCAAGCCATGCAAGATCTAACTAAGGCAGAGGCTGAAATCCAGGTTCTGCAGAAAATGCTTCAAGACAGGGTAACATAATCACTCATAATGTACATACCAAAGCACAGCCAGAACATTTACAGCTTACTTGAATTACATGGTTCTGAATCCCTACAGTTCTCAGTAACATTTGAATTTTAATCCATGTCCTAATTTATATTTTGTGTTGTAGGCTCATGTAATGGAAATGGATAGCCCTGGTGTCCCACACTCCAGCATGCCCCAAAAAGAGTTAGCCAGACTGAACCGAGCTTTGAAAAGACAACAGGCTCAGACCAAAAGGCTCAGAGATCAGTTGGCGCAAGCCAACGAAGGTAACTGTCTCAAGTAACAAATCCCATATCCTATTGCTCATAAAAGAATAGTTTGTTTTATTATTTCTATTTATTGTCTTTCTAGATAACAGTGGAAACTTGGAGGAGCTGCTTGAGGAGATAGAAGCACTAAGAGATACTCTGCTGCAGCAGAACAACTACTTGTCTAGTTTTGTGGATGCTCCACGCGATAAAGGCTACTGGTACTATGTACCACCAAACCAAAATGTAAGCGATTATATACAGTTTTAAGATCAGCAGTACTGGACAGCTTTGTTCATGAGTGGTATGAATGTTCATGCAAGACTTATTTTTTTTATGTAAATGCTTAATGCATTTTTCTGAATATCTGTTCCAACATTGTCTTGTTTTGAAAACTGATGCTTTAAGCTGATACACCTTTCTATGATTGCTGTTCTAGCCACCCAGTCTGGGTTCTCAGGGCACTTACGATTCTGGATTGGGCTCTCAGCATCTACCATCCCCAGATAGAGGCAGGCATTCCAGAGGCAGGCATCGCAAAGAGACAAGACCTCCTTCCAACACAGGATACTGGGTCTACTCCCCTTGTTCACATGACCCACTCACTCATGGAGGAAGAGGTGACACATGTAACATTGAAACTTCAGTCATGGACTGAATCTTAATCTTTGGCTAATTGCTCTCTATAAAATACACTATAGAGATAAACAGTGCAAGTCCAACATGGCAGCAACATACATTTTGCACTAATTGGATCATTCTACCTAATTAGTTCAATATTAATGATTCTGTACCTTATTTATGTTTATGATATTAAAATAAATGATTGCACATTTCATTATGTCACTATCTAAACTATAATAGTGCTACTGAAACTTTGTCAAATTTTTCAGTAGTGACTGTTGCAGTAGTGATTATTTAAGCTAATTTTGAGCATAATACAAAAACACTAGCCGGTACATGATTAGCAAACACAGCTTTAAACAGTTTACATAGTTTAAACAGTATACGTATTAAATCAAAATCATTTTATTTAAACACAAAAAAAGTTAATTTAATTGCAGAAAATATGTGGTTTGGTACTGACAATTCTTTATGTTACATACTGATTTTCATACTTTGGGACACATTTACTTTAAAACAATGGAATCTCACTGCTCATCATGTGGCCATGAGAGACAGGGATGCAGTCTCACTTCCTGCTCTAAAATGCAGGGGTGTGGCTAAAAAAAGGGCTCCGCCTGTAGACTAAAACTTATGTTTCAGTAGTGACAAGAAAACACAGGACAGTGTTTTTTGGATAAAGTCTTTATTTGAAAATTAAAATGATGATTTTGTATATATTTAGCTTGTTACTATCTCATTGGGTTTAAACAGAGAACAAAGTTGGCGTATGAGCTTCAGTCATGTTCTTAATTTGTCATGTTTTTCACTGCAAGTCTAACAGCACGTTGCTGAAAGACATTTACAACTTCTGTTGTAAAGCTCACCATTGTTCATACATGCTTAGATATACATTATAAACTTACCTGTGTTCTAAACCTCTGTCCCCCTTTCCGGTAGATCCTCCCTATGGAGTCAGTGATGGTGAGAGTGAAGAGGATAATGTTAGAGGAACTCATTTCACTCCTCCGCCAGGCTCAGTCATCTACACTGTGCCCCCTGATGGCACCCACCTCCCTCCAGGCACCGTCATCTACGCTCCCCCTCTACCAGGCGTGTCTGTCTTCCCTGGTGCAGTATTCTACGGCCCTCCTCCTGACGGGGCCAGGCTGGTGTTTGGCCCTCCTCCTAGTGGACTGCAAATCCCTCTGATTCCTAATGGGACTCTACACTGTAATGTGCCTGGCCATGAGGATATGGTGAGCCATATGTGGATCATCTAGAGGCTTTTAGTTATGTATATATCAATCAAGATCTATCGTGTTATGTCAGGTTTTGCCATATTGTGCTACACTACGTTCCACTTTGTGCTGTACGAAGTTGTGTTATCAAATGTTGCATGTTCATATTATAATGTGTTGATGATTTTTTTGTCTAGGAGCGCTCTCTGAGAGAGGCAGAGCTTTCTTTAAGAAAGCAGCGGTCAGGCACAGCTGTCAGTGAGCGAGAGCTGCTCAGGTTAGAGGAGCAGAGATCAGATCTACAGCTGGAGCTTAAAGAGCTGCGGCGCACTGTGAGCCGACTGCAGCGCCACAGGTTAGTGAACCCACCTGCTCTCAGCCTACACAACACTGACAGCTCTTTTCAGCATACAACAGTTAAACACCTGCTCAGCCTACTTGTGGTTGATTTCAGTGGGTGGATGATTTCCAGGACCTAGTGACATCTTTAAACCAAGATGTTCTGCATTCCTGACACCAATTTGAGTGAATTTTTATATAACTTTTAAGACTAACTCTCTCACTCCATGACACCCTGTTGCTTTATTAAAAATTCATCATATATGTGTGCATTAGCTTTATTGGATTTGAGCTGTGTCTGACCATAGGAGGCTGTTGGAGAGTTCAGTAAGTCGTGCAGAGGAGGAGCAGTGTGTAATGGGGGAGGTGGAGTGCCTAGAGAAGACTCTGGTAAAACGCAGAACTGAGCTACGAGAGGCAGAGCGCCTGCTGCTGGAGGCTGAGGCTGACCTGAAAGATGCCAGAGCTAAGGTCCAACATAACCTCACTGTACTAATTTTCCATGTATTGTATAAGGTGGCATATTGAGTCTTTATGACTACTTTCATTATGTCAAGTTTAAAATACTAATGTACAGTACTGGCAAAAGTAAGAGACCATCCTTTCTTTTGTTTAATTTCCAGCCCTTAAGTGCAAGTTATTCATTTTTTCCACAACATTTTTCATTCCATTTTTTACACAGAAGCCTAAACAACTAAATATGACATCACCTTTTCAGTTTTCAGAGTTTTTAGTATGTCCACTCTTTGCCTTTATTATCCCTTTTATTCTTTTAGTTTCATTCATTCATTCAGTTTCTTGCTTTCTGTTTTTCAAAGAAATCTGCAGGGGTATTTTCCACCTCCAAACTCCAGTCTTAGAAGTTGGTTACGTTTTCTGTTTCCCACAATCTAAGAAATCCCGATTACAAATTTAGACTCATCAGTCGAAACATCTACACATCTCAGAGGTCAAGTTTTGGCATTCTAGTTCTAGTCAAGCTTCTAGTCTAGTCTCCTTTTTTTGTCTATTTCCTCTCGTCCTTTCATGCCCACAGCATTAAGTTGTCTTCTCACAGTGGAAGGATGGACAGAAACACCTGTGGATTTTTTCAGATCTGAAGCAAGAGAGAAGCTTGATTTTTCTCTTCTCTGAAAGATGAAAGCTTTGAATACTATTTATCTGATGGTTTCAGTTTTGGTGGTCTACCAGGTCTTGCATGGTTATTAGGAGTCCCATTTTCCTCATTTTATCTTTTAATAATTTTTTCAACTGCAATTTTCAAAAACCATTTATTTGACTTATTTTCCTTTCCTCTTTCTTATGTAGGTGGATTATCTTATATCTTATCTCCTTAGAAATATCTCCTTTAGTCACTTTAGATACACATGAAAAAGAAATTTGCAAGGCAACTAAGGTGTGTTTGGGAATTTGCTTGTGTGAATGTTAGTGTCTTTTTGAAGGGGAACATAATGTCAGTGACAGTTTAGGAAGAGCTTTTGTTGGGAGGACTATAACCTGTTGGATTTAAGATTGGAAGGATTGAAGGACTTAAATTGTCAGTAAGGTGCACAAAAAAAAAGTGGAAACTGATTTGATGTTATACTTTGTGCTGGAGGCTTTTGTGTATTTTTCTGTTAAATATAGTTTCCTACTTTTTTCTGAAACTGAAAAATGAATAACTTAATGGCCCTTTTGACTGGGAATCAAATGAGCGAAAGTTGGTCTGTGACTTATGCACAGAATTGTATATTGCTAATTACTGTTGCATGTGTTGATTTGTATGCATATGTGTGCTTGTAGACCAAAGACACTCTGCAAAGCTGTGGTGAAGCTAAACAGCGGTTACAGGCAACAGAACATGAGTTGGAGGAGATTGAACTACAGACTCAAGACAGCGCCAAACAGCTAGTACACACCAAACAGCAGCTCCGGTACCACTATGACCACTCAATCAATGTTTTATCAGGATTGAACAATAGACTGTCCTACCTTTGCAGAGTATATCTTGGCTTTAAAATTTCATGTTCACCCCTTTGCCACAGGGATCTCCAGGAAGAGATTAAGGACCTGCACAAACAAAAGCAGGACAAGGAAAACACACTACAACAGATAGAAAAAGTGATTGCAGCTCAAGATGCAGAGTTTCAAGAAGTTAACAGAAATCTGGAGAGAACAAGGATTAAGTAAGGGTCCCTTTCTTGTACAAAATGACAACTCCTCTGAAGGTTTTATTTGTTTCTTTCTTATCATAACTATTGTCTGTCCGGGATGCAGATTAGACACAACGCAGGAGGAGCTGAAAGAAACACAGATCTTAGAATCAAAACTCCTGAAAAACTGCAGAGATGCAGAGGTCCTTTTAACCCAGCGGAAAAATGAACTGGAACATCTCAACACCCAGGTAACATTTACAGATTGTCTCAATATTGAACCATTGTTATCTGGTATATTGAAAAGAATGTGTAATGTTCTGCAAGAAATGGAAATTTGTAGTTTAGTAACAACTTTGAACAACAAACATTTTATTAATGTATACCTAGTGACTTCATTTAAAAAAGAAAGAATCTAGCCCAAACTTTATTATTAAAATATTATTAAAATTAAACTGTTCTAGACATTGTTTCTCATTAGTTACATTTTAATATGAATCCCCCTGATCCAATCTGATCCAAAATATATTTTCCTTAATTCAAATTCACTTGACCCACAGACAATTCATTGCTCACAAGACTCTGATACCACAGACACCACACTGCACTCCATCAAATAACCTGAATTATTTTCCCAGACATTATTCGCTATTTTTTGAACAGTAAAAAAGCAGTAATAACTACATACGTTAATCACAAACCTCAATTCCAAAAAATGTTGCTACACGTAGTATAGATACAGTATAGTTGCAGTATAGATACAGTTTGTTAAATGCACGTTTTAACATACTTAACGTCTGTTTGACATGTATTCAATTCAGTATGAATGCTGTTTATTGACAATGGTTTGTCAAAGTATTGAGTCCGTGTTGATGCAGGCATCAATTTCAGAATGGGCTTATGTTTACAAAAAGTAAGGTTTAATAAATAAAACATTAAACATCTTTTCTTTGGACTGATTAAAGTTACATTACACACTTCTATAACCTAAGAACAGTTCAGCCAGTTTGCATTTAAGTTTTTGTAGTTACTGAATAATAAGCCCTGGTGTGTAATAAGCCTGGGATTTTAAGGGGTTTGAATACAGATCAAAGTGGATTTACAAATCACTGCTTTCTGTTATTATTTGCATTTCTCTTATTTCCTAACTCTCTGACTTCTGTCTGTTTGCAGATGCTGCTGCAGCAGGAGGAGCTATCTCTGCTGGGCAGGAAGCTGGAGCAGTGGCAGGAGGAGGAGGCTGTAATGAGGGAAAGTGTGGAGAAACACAGGAAGGGCCTGGTAGAGGTGCTGAGAGAGGGGGAGCAAGAAGCACACAGCCTACAGAAACGTATTAAGGTCTGCCTTCACAGACTCGCTGATTATTGAGCTTCAACAAATATTAACAATGCTAATAATTAATACCAGGTAGCTTTGGTGCAGATAATGGTTCTCTCTGTCTCCTGTCAACAAACCTGAATCAAATAATGAATGATCAACCTCAACCCCTTAATGTCCATTCTAAAGCTGATGATTGTTATTCACTAACTGTGTGGGAAACAATGCAAAATGAAGTTATTCTTATGTTAGTAGTGAGGATGGAGTACTTTGATGTGGTAAAAAGTTTGTGTATGTGTGTGTAGGACCTGCGTGTTGATGTGCAGGCTCTGGCTGTGCAGAAGGGAGAGCTGGACTCTCAGCTCACAGAGAGGAAGAGCAGATTGGCTCAGTTTAAAAAGGAGGAGCAGCAAGAAGAAGAGGCCATGCAGAAACTGCGCTCAATCATTAACAAACATAAAGCAGGTAAAGTCAAGCACTGCTGAAACACATGAGCAAAAAGAGCTGTCCCTTTTCCACGCATAATGAGTTTGTACCCCTGTTCTATGAGCAGAGCTGAAGCATGTGTTGGAGATGATCCAGCTGAAGAGTGCTGAGCTAGAGGGAGTGAAGGTTCAGCACAACAAGAAAGTGGACCAACTGGAGAAGAGCCAGGAAACTCTGCTCCAGGTGAGAACTGTAAATGGCTTTGGGCTGTGCTTTGAGGTGGGCGGTCTATTTGTATCAGCATTTATACATAGTAATTTTTTTTTTGTTTGTTTTTACCCAATTTTCTCCCCAATTTAGTCGTTTCCAGTTCTGAACTTATGAAAAATACTTGCTATTCGCATACTTTTGAATGTACACATCAACTGAATTCAGTATTGATGCACAGAGAAAGTGTTTCTTGTATGGTCCGTAGAATGTAGCACTGATACGTTGATAGGCCAGGCATAAGTGTGTATATGGTGGAAAGAGCCCAAAAGTATGGTTTTGGGCTCTATGTGAATGATTGGGTGACCAAATGAAAAGTTGATGGAAAAATTTGAATATATAATGATGGACGACTGAAAGATAAATTTACCGTTCGATACTAACCTAAGGTACAATGATCATAAATACTATGACTGGGGCAGCTTCTTTCCACGTACCTCAGTAGCTCTCAAAACACATCCATGCCCACCATGTCCTTTTCTATAATTTTGCACATGTGGGATTTCCTCTTACTGCTGTGCTTCACATTTTCTCTCTCAGACAATAGAGTAAAAATAGTTTTATGTCTTATTGCTTGTGGATGTTTGCTTTCAAGATGGTAAATTGTAGGTTTGCTATTGTCTGAAAATGGTCCCTAACAGCACTATTATTTAGCTACATGCTTAATTTTTTTAGTAGGCCTATCTGACAGAACTAATTGCCTATTTTGCTCTCATACATACAGTTCAAAAACGTTCTTCAGCTCAACATAAATCCACCTATTTAAATACGAACAGTTGTTTACTGGAAATGACACGATTAAATGACCAATAGCCTTGGTCGAACAATTGTTTACTCATTGGCTGATGGTTAATCGCTTAATCATTTGTTTCCCTAGTTCATTTTATCAACTTTTAGCTCAAGATTTTTTTTTTTTTAACCTTTAATGTCGGAAGCCCAGGTTAAAACTGAAAGACATAAGATTGAAAAGATAATGAAATTAATAGAAGAACAAGGAGAAAAAAAAACATGCTAAAATATGATCTTCTTCATACATGAAGTAAAAGGTATCACTTGTCTTTAGATATTAATGTCACATGCAAATGCGCAAAAAGAATATTCAATGTTTAGGTCTCAAATGCAAAATCACCATTATACTGATGATGTGATGTGATATATGACATGATAGAAAACTCTTTCAGCACACACGCAGTCATCAGGTTCATACACTTGTGGAAGGGGTCCAAAGCACAGCTGTTGTTACAAAATGTTCTTCCATGCATTGCATGCAAATACACAATTCCACAAGAGTTCTCCAAATCTCCAAAAGTTACATAGTATTGCTTTTAATTCTAAGGGATGAAGAGAGATTGGAGATGTTAGTTTTTGTTACCTAAAATTACACATAAATGAACAAAAAAAACAAGAAAACGTAAAATATGAGCCCTTTAAGTTAGGTGTATATATCTTGCAGGTGCGTATGGAGCTGCAGGTGGTGCAGCAGGAGCTGCAGGAGCAGCAGGAGAGGCAGAGGAAGCTGCAAGAGCAGTGCACTAACTTGGAGGCTCGCCGCACGCACGCTCAGAGGTACAAACTCTGTCATCCAAATGTCCTGACTGATTGCTGGTTTACTTTCAGTGATACTGCTAATGCTGTTGCCTTTCCCTGATAATAACCACTATTGAAAAGTTTTAAGGTTGAAATTAAACAAAACAATATTATTCGCTTTATGAACTAAAGCATTGCTATGAGGGACTGAAGCATTGCTATCTGATTGGGCAGATGTTTGGAGGCAGCAGAGGAGGGAGCGCAGGCAGCAGAGGCAGAGCTATTGAAGCTGCAGGCAGAGCTGGCCAAGCTGAAGCAGGAGTACAGACATGCCAACAGCCTCAAAGAAGAGGTCAACAGAGATACTGACACGACCCAGCGGCAACTAGAAGGTACAGATCAGCATCATATTAAATTTTGTTGGATCTAGTGTGTTAAAATATGATGTGTGGGTAATTTGTGCCTGTTGTCTCCTGCAGAGAAGACTGAAGAGTTGAATAAGCTAAAGGAGCAGGTTGCACATTCACAACTTCAGCTAGAGGAGATAAGAAAGGTGAACTATAGTCTATGTGTTTGATTAAAACTTACATTGTTAGGTTAAACAAGTCCTGACTGAATTCATCTTGCTTTGATTTCTGGCATACAGGAAGTAGAAGACGTTCAGAGAGGGCGGGATGATCTGGTAAAGCAGCAGCGAGAGCAGAAGGCTGAGCTGCAAAACAAGACTGAAAAGATCCAGAGGAGACAGCAGAGAGTGGACAAACTGGAGCAGCAGCTGAAGGATCTAGAGGTGGCGTTGGCCAAGAAGGAAGCCCAACTTGAACAACAGGAAGAGGTGAGGGGGCTTTTTGTGCTGCCATCGAATGGCTGTCCATTGTAGTTTAAAGGAATGTTTTGACAAAAAATCTAATTTACACAATTTTCCACTTATCCCAGATCCCAGTCGATCGGCCAAGACATGTTTGGAGTTTTTGATTCTTTAGTTTGGAACTGGAACGGCAGGACAAACATTGTTAACAAACGCTTGAACTAAGTAGTCATCCAAATAGCCCACATAATTTCTGTAAAATACATCACCAAAATTTCTCTTATAAATTCTAATTACCTGTTTTATGTTACGTTCATTTCATCATCTGAACTGTTTCGTGATCAGTCATACCACTTTAAAGCATTTTATTTTAGATCTAAAGGATCCCTTTTCTGATTAAAACTGGATGTACTAAAAACATTTTACTGCAGTTCATCACTTACTCAGTACTTAAGAAAGTTTTTTTATCAAGTCGTTATTTCACCAAAGTAACAACAATTTTACTTAAGGCTACTATACCCACTTTTGCTTGTCAGGAGAAATAACACTGGATGACAGCCAGTCTCCCAGTACTATCAAAGTGCATTCACTGTATCCCTCTGACTTTTTTCTGTCTAGCACATGAAGTCGCAACAGCAGCAGAGTTTAGAGCTGGAGGAGCTGCAGAGACAGCAGCAGCAGAAGCTGCAGTCTCAGCTGCAGGCACTAGAGGGAGCACTTACCCAGCGTGTGGAGAAGATGGAGCAAGTCTCAGCTGCTGTGGAAGAACTGGAGGAGAAGAGATGCTTTCTGCAAGCAGATCAGCAGCACAGTGCTTTGCTACAGGACAGGGCAGCACAGCTTGGTGAGTTTAGAGGACAACCATTCATTTTATTTTGCTTTTGTAAAGAAGGATATGGTCTCAGTGCTAGTTATAACCCCTCAAGCCCTAAGGGCAAACATGGGCCCATACCTCAATTTCTCACTCTCACAGCTGTTGAAGTTACATATTAGTTTAATTATTTTTGTTATTAAACTATTATAAATGATTTAGCCGCTATTATGAAACTTTCATAGTAGTTATTGAATCATTGTTTAGGTGTTACTAGAGATAGTAGTCATAAGGGATGTAACGGTATAACATATTGCATTGCAGTAGTATTGCAGTGTACTGTATTGTTGTATTGTGACTAGCATATTAGTTGATGGCTAATTTGTTAGACTGGGGCTAACATATTATCTTGTGGTAGAGTATTAGATCAGGACAGTGTAAAGGAAAACTTTAGTTTGAAATATTAGACATTTATATAGTGAATGCTGTAATAAACAGAGAATGAAAAAAATATCATTGCAAAAATAATTTTGCAAATTGTTACACATCTAGTAGTTACTGCATAAGTCTTACGATTAATAACAGGGTATTGTGCTGGTTATTAATACCTCCACAGCCAAATGACCCTTAATAATTCAAGGATGTCTCACGGATATGTGTGTATGTGTACAGAAGAGGAGTTGGCTGACAGAGAGGTCAGGCTAAGGGCCAAAACAAAGGAGGCGAGGGAGGTCAGGGAGGATCTGGAGACCTGCCGCTCTGAGCTTCAGCGTCTTCAAGACACTCTGGCTGCAGAGAGGAGGAGCATGGAGGCACGGCTTGTAACTGCGAAGAACCTCAGTCTAGCTGAAAAAGAGAAACTGCAGCAGGCTGAGAAGGTGAGAAACACTGACCTTTCTACCTCTTCCTATAGCCTTTATGTAGTGTTAGTTGTTGATTTTTATAATTTTGCAATGCCTTGTAGTAGGTGGACTGAATACCGTGTATGTGTGCAGGAGCGGGAGAGATTGCACAGGGAGCTGGTGGTGGTGGATCAGGCAGCTCAGGAGAACCACGAGAGAGCCACAGGCCTGCAGCTGGAGCTCAACTCAACATCTCAGGAGCTTCTTTGCCTCAAAGACAAGGTACCCTAACCACTTTCTTCAGAGCAGTATTCTTCTGTGACTTGCGTACAGTTTGCACAACACAACTGAAACTAGTTGAAAGTTTCCAGTGACTATGGACAGTAGGGTTGCACAGTAAATCATTTGCTAATTGTAATAGTGATATCTGCCTTATTTTGGTCAAAATAACAGGCTGGTCCATACTAAGGGTGGGAAATTAATAGATTTTTAGATTCATCAAGTATCTGAATCAGTTCACAAAACATCAACAGAGTTTCCCCTACTATAAAATAAACATATGCGCTGCCAGGGACTTTATAAAGTTGTCTGGCTTAGAGGAGGAAAAAAATGCAGAATCTCACAAATGCATGCATGTTTGTAGTCACAAATTGCTCACACTTTTCGTGTATATAAAGTAATGGGCTTGAAATCATAGTAACTTAACGTACATAAGAAAGAGGCTTTGTTTAACAACCACCTTGGCAAATTGCTAACAAGCGAACAAGCTCAACCAGTAGTATTTAGAGTTAGGTATTAAGTTTTTACTGAATTTACTAAAGGATTTGGTTATATTCAGATTCAGCTTAGTTTATTGCAAAACATGACAGTCTCAATAAGTAGCAATATAATCACAATGTGCTATTTTGGCCAGATTTTGCATAGTTCTGTATTTCTTCTATATGCATTCTCAGCTACGGCACCAAGGAGAGGGGAAGAATCGTCTGCGAGAGATCAGGGGTACAGTCCGCTCTCTGAGGTCAGAGGTGAGAGCAGAGTTGGACACCAGTATGAAGGAGTTGGCGTTGCAATCTGCTGCATCCAACGATGCAAACGACCACAAGGAGAACCATGTCTTGTCACCATTAGCTGTGAGGAAGTCCACCTACAATACCAAAGTATGGGCTGAGTTTTACAAGGTTCAGCACTTGATTGCTAAATTTTTAGTTGTTAATAAGTAGAAGAATTTAAACTTATACAGTCATTAGTTAACATCCCTGGTCAAATGACGTTTTGTTTATTTTATAAGTGAAAATAAATTAACACATCCTCTACAGGGAACAAATTTAAATATGGCATGTTTTTGCTAATTTTAGTGCATAATTTCTATTCATTTGAGTTTAGCCAAATGTGCCATAACTTTTACACAGGCCACGTTTTATGTTTTTCTTCAGCAAATAAACAATACTTGTGCCTTAAAATATGCAGAAGTGCGTTCTCTGAAGAGGATGTGTTAACTTATTTTCGCTTAATCAACAAAACATGACCAGGGTCGTCCAGACATTTGCATACAAATGCAAATCTTCATTCTTGTCTGCTCTCATTCTTGTGTGCAGGACGAGCAGTGGCGGGGAGAAGCACAGAGAGAGCAACTGAGGCAGCGTGAAGATCATCTGAAGGTTACAAGTTCATCTTCTGAAAGTGTCATTTAGTCATTCGCTTCAGGATATATTAGCACTGTGTTTACTATGTAAGAACTTGTTCTGAAAGCAGTCGCATAAAGTGGTTTCTGCACTCTTTCATCTCAGGCTCAGCTGCGCAGGTCGATGTTCTCTCAGCAGGAGGTGCTGAGTCTGCGCAGGCAGCAGACAGAGGGCAGCATCCAGGGACTACGCAGACGGGTAGACAAGCTGGACCAGCTACTGGGCAAATCCAGCCATGAGTCCCCATATCTAAGTGACTCTGAAATCTCTGCTAAGTAGAGCTCTGTAAGTGAGGACTGGAGAGCTCCTCTTAATTACTTTAAAGCAGGGGTGCACAACTTCATTCCTGGAGGGCTGGAGTCCAGCACAGTTTGGCAATTTACATGCTCCAACACACCTGATTACACTTATCTGTTAATTGCACAGCTTTCTGATTCCTCTGCTCTTACACATCAGTTGAAGCTGGCAGTGTTTACTCAGTGTGTCTGAGCAGGAAAATTATAATACTGTGCAGACCCTCCAGGAGCAGAGTTCCCCACCAATGGATTACAGCCTCAGTTATACCCTTTCAGTTCTGCAAATCAGAGCAAAAAAGGCAACAAAAAAAAGGAAATAGTCTGTTTTGCTTTTTTTTCCTGCCCATTATGTGTGTTTAGCGCATTTGCACTGGTGAATAATAGTATGGTAAGAAACATACCAGTAGTTTAGTAGTTTGATTTGTGTTTCTTTAAACTTGCACAGAGAGCTGGCAACACCAGAGAAGATCGTTCTTATAGTCCTATTAGACTGGACCCCTCTGTCCCTGAGAAAGACTAAGCACACCTCCTGAGCCAAGTACACTAAAGCCATTCCTGTTCAAAAAGGAAAATTTCTCTTTCTCTGAAGTTCTGAAGCCAAGTACCTCTCAACTTTCAGAGGAGATTCTCCTATGCACTTTCACCTGTAAATGAGGAAAGTAAAATTTGGGGTGAAAAGTATTTTTTAAAATTAAGATTTACTTTCTCCTACCTCAGGCTACAAGGAGAGGCAGTACTCCTTTTTTGAGATATTGTTTGTGTGACCTGATTTTCTTTTATGATTTTGTAAAATGTTTTTAGCAAATTAAAAATTAACATAGCTGTGTGCCTTAAAGCTACATGCTACATGTAAAATAAGCATAATAACATCTAAAATGTTCTACATGGCGCATTCAGTACGTTATCATGGCAGTTGATGCAGGCCCTGTGGAAGTCTTTTTACTGTTTTGTACATGCCTTTCAGAAAATATACTGGTATCTAAGTAAATTATTTATTATCGCACTTAAAACATGCATTTTGTAACTTGTGTACTGTTATAATTCTATGTGCAATAAAATATGTACTATTTTCTATTTTTTACATCATCTTTTTCTTTTCACTATAAATACTTGTGGTCCTCAGCAGCGCTGCTAGTGTAATACAGTACAATGATGTATGATCAGAGACCGTCTACAGCATTGTCTTTATTAACATAATTACAAACAAATGTCACTTACAGAAGACATACCTCAGAGTTTCAGAGCAGGTTATATATGACTTTTTATAGTCACTGAGACATGGAAAAATGCAAGAGAGTGGGCTCAAAAAAAAAAAAAGAATTTTAGTTCACAAAACTCCACACACACTCCTTTACAATCTCATCATAAGACAGATTTAATACAATTTTCTGGAGTGCTTCCTTATGCCTTTCCATCCCCTCCAAATGTCTACCAGTAAAACATTCTGTTGCATGTCAAATAAGTTGTGTTCTTTAAGAAGGGCATGTATATTTTACTGGTACCTAAAGTCAATTTGAGTCACTTAAATTGACATGCATTTGGGATAATTCCCAATGCATAACTCAGAAATCCAGTTTATCTGAATTCACTGTGAAAAACTAAAGGAATGTTTGTGAAGGGTTGAAAAGCCAAAAATTAGTTCTTACTTTATAACGTTTAAGTTTAGTGATTTTTTTGATTATGTACTGTATATTACAAACTGAACAGGATTTACAGAAAAAAGGACGAGAGCAAACACAATAAGGCAACAGACGTTAAAATTCAAAGAATAATACTCTGATATGCTATGAGTTTACACTGAACTTGAAGGGCACTAAATTTCGACTGTAACAACTTAAGAGGTTCATTCCCTCATCAAGGTCAAATAGTTCTGGTCTGTTCCGTACATCTCTAAACCCAAAGTGAACATTTCATTGTGAATGTTCCAGGATGGACTTAAGACTAATAAGATGATAAAAAAGCTCCAGGCCTTTGAAAACCAACTACAAAGTGCAAAAACATTCTTATGGACTCCAAATGTGTGTCCGTTCAATATATTACTATCACTGTTCTACAACTTAAAACATTTTGAATCTGAAGCAACCAAAAGAACAGCAGATTTTTTTTTAAAATGGAACTTCCATTTGGTTTTTAACAATACTCATCTTGTATAGTACTTGTATGTTATGTCTTGAGTAGGTACAAACAGGGATAAATATGTGGTGATTTGTTACTTGTGACACTGCATAAATCCTAATTAAAACAATACAATATCAATTAAGTTTTTTTTTTCTTTTTAACAAAATGTACAATAACAGGTCATCATGCACCTCCCCTCAAGCACATTCTAAAATCGGATTCTGCCTAAACGTGTTTTTCACTTGAACGAGAATAACGTATATCAAAATTTTCATCTGTTTAAATTATCCCAATATTCCAACAGCTGCTGTACACGAGATGTTTCATTTACAGTTATGCACATCACTCTGCTTATTGATAAACTCAACATTTTTCTTTTTTTCAGTTTATCAGCCATCTAGATTAGTGTTCCGAGGAGGAAACTTCCTCCAGTGAGTGCTCGCAGGGTGCACTGGGACGTGTGCGTTATGAACAGGCAAAATGAGTGAGGGAGAAGAAAGGAGAAAAGAGATGAATGTGGTGGAAGCTGACTGCACTACTCCTCCGTTGTTTGGAGCCATCCAGCCCAAAAACTGTAATCTCCAACCTCATGGCCAATCAGAATGGAAGGAGGGAGGAAAAAAGAGAAAGAGAGCGACAGAGAGAGGCCAAGGTGTAGGGCTGGAGGGTAGATACGGAAAGAGAGAGAGAAAGAAAGGAAAAGGAAGTCTTCATGGTCATTAACAGCTGCAGCCCTCCTTCTGCGGCTGTGCGTCGCTGGAAAGCCGGCCACCCTGCGGGGCAGTGGGCTTGTGCTGGACCCCTGACTCGGCTGCATTCAGGTCCAGGCTACCATCCTGAATGTTCTGGTAGATCTTCTTGGCTGCCTCCAGGAACGCATCTTCCACATTCTCACCTCTGTGCAAATGACAACATTCAGCATTACTGAAAAATGCATAGCGATGGCAGTGTAATGTTGCAACCTTGTAAACTATGATGAATGCAGTGTTATTGTATACATGCACTACTAATAAACAAACATCAGGAGATTAAAACTTACGTTTTTGCACTCGCCTCGAGGAACAACAGGCCTGTTGCGCAACACCATGGGATAAAAATGAAAATTAAGACAATGTATTTACTGTAAGAAAGTAAATAATGCAGTGCCAGAAATTACCAGGTGCAAAAGGCAAAAATGTCCCACATTTAACATTCAACTCAAACACAGGGGCAACTACACCTCCAAAATAACATGATGCAAAATAAATCAATATGAACTTACTTCTAAATGCAATTATTTGAACTAATTTGCATTACCATGACAGTGTAAATGCACATCTGTAGATAGAATGGACTGCTATGTTATCTGTTACAAAGTAAGTCTCAATTCAAAAGTATCTACCACCACCATTCTGCATTTCTGTCCAAAAAACAGAAAGAAAATAAAATCTATGCACTGCTTAGTTGGTTGTTTTGGTAAATGAAACTGCTAGTTAGTGTTCTGATTAAGTTAAAACCATTTCAGTCCCAGATGGCAAAAACTGCCCTTTAAAAATGATCTCAGATCCTGAAATAGTATCACTGTATTGTAGAGACATTATATTCCATACACATTTTTCCTACCATTCTCTTCAGCAAATTGCTTGGCCTCCTCATATGTAACATCTCGCTGGGCTTCGAGGTCCGCCTTATTACCAATAAGAATTATCACCTGCAGAAAGAATGACCAGACTTAGAATCTATTAATTTAATGAATATGATTGTGCCCATACTTGACTGCATAGCAGCAAAGTTATGACGATTTTGCATGGACTCAAGTTAGAGGCATCGAGAATACAAACTTACTGTATTAGGGTTGGTGAGATTCCTTGCATCAGTCAGCCAGCTGCTGAGGTGGTTGTACGTGCTTCGCCTGCAAAGGAAGACCACCAGGTATCAGAGTAAGTCTTATAAGTGTTATTAAACATGCAATCCAATAAAAATAATGATGTTATTTTAGGGTTCTCTAGTTCTTTCATATGATGAGAGCATCCTTTGGTACAAGATCAATAAGAAGTGGTATTAAACATGCAATCCAATAAAAATAATGATGTTATTTTAGGGCTATCTATCTATCTCTATCTATCTATTTATTTATTTAGAAGGCTTTGTGCTGATGTCAGAGTTGAAAAGAACTGAATGAATGTAAACAAGAAGCCATGTTACCTGGTGATGTCATACACCATGAGTGCTCCGGCAGCTCCTCTGTAGTAGCTGCGAGTGACTGCACGGAATCGCTCTTGACCGGCTGTGTCCCAGATCTGCAGCTTCACTTTCTGCCCGCTCACCTCGATTATCCGTGTGCCAAACTCCACCCCAATCGTGTGTGGGCAGTCTGCCATAACTGATTCAGGCAAGAACAGGTGATGCTCAAAACAGTCCTTTTCATGACATGATGGCATTGCATGTTTCCTGTGTGCATCCAAATTGTTACACCTCCAATTCATGATGGCAAATATATATGGACCCATTTTTACAATAATAAACATCTGTACACTCTTTCCCTATGAAACAGCCAATGGTGTGCCCAGTTGAAAACAGGACAGGGTGGACAATAAAGACAATGTATGCCTGAGCCTAACAAACACATCTAGCTAGGCTATAATGATCCACGGTCCTTTGGCATGTGGTGCACATGTGACTAGCTGGCTATAAGTAAGTGTTTTCTGAACACTGATGAGAGTACTTACATTTCTTTTCTGTGAATTGGTGAAGCAAACATGACTTTCCAACCCCCATATCACCTTGAAGGATATGAAAAAAAAACAAAGTCTCAGTATCAAAAAACAGTAAATCTGGAAAATATGAAAACATTCAGTGGCATATGACTTAACACTTGCCATTTAGCCTTAAAAGAGATCTTCAAGGGTTTTCTAGTAAAGGCAATAGTTCTATTTAGAACCACAAGTTCAATATAGAACTATTTCATGCGTAAATCATTCTTCGGGACTGATGAAGAATGTATGGTATATGGTTATATAGCACCAAAAAGGGTTCCACTATTTTTATGATGTCAAGCTTTAACCATAGAACCATACACAACACGTTCTTCATCAATCTGAAGAATCATTACACCATGCAAAGAACCATTTAAGCATGAAAGCTGTCTTTGGCCTGTAACAATAGTAAAACCCTTTTTGGTGCTTTGTAGAACCTTCTTCAAAAAAGTTCTGTATAGAACCATCTACAGCACATTCTCCATCAATCTGAAGAACCATTTCACCATGTGAAGAATCATGCAAATGGGTTCTTTGAGTGTTCATGGTTCTATATAGAATGATTTTCATTACTAAAGAACCCTTACAGATCCATCTTTTTAAGAGTGTATAGGACTCATGGTTCTAATTATCTTTAAACGTGTGGGATGTCAGATTTTCACTCACCAATAATGATATATTTGAAAATATAGGAATAGTTATACGGTGCAGTCGTCATTTTGGGTTCTGAAAAAGAAAAGAAGATAAACCTGTTACAATTTAAGACGTCAGAACACAAATGGCAGCGTATGTTTACTCTATGTTCAACCTGAAGCTGAGCAAACATTGGGCTAAGAGGCTACTACTAATAATACCGCAAGCTAATGTTTATGTTAGCCAGCTGGACAGCTATTGTTCAGGGCATCAGCCAAGCTAACGTTAGCAAGTTGCATTCTTTCCAAATGGTTAGAAAACTAGTTAGCAAACGTTAAACACAAGCAGAGCAATAAAGTGTGACAAGGCTCGTCATCTCGGGACATTTATCTGACCTGGTTGACACGCTGACAACAGAATGATATACTACATTACATTTTCACAGAACAACAAAACACTTGGCTGTCTAGTTAGCTTTGCTTCCGAATGACATCTTATTAGCCGGGCATGTAAACAGCTAATGTTAGCTGGCTTAGCTAACTCCGAAGAGAGTCCAATGTAAGTGAACCTGATTTGCCATCTAGGTTAGCTGGTTAGCTAGCGAGCCTAGCAGAAGCAGAATCTGTTAAAAAAGGGCCGGGACAGCTGCTTTTCCGTGTCAGTGTCTAAGGCTAAATAAACCTCTGCAGCTTTCTGGTGAAGCGAAAATCCTAAAAAAAAAACAGTTAATAATCAACAACTCGGGCATTTCCGTGATCCTTCTGCTAGGAAGGACAGCTTAGCTGTGGCCACAACAAGCGCAGAAGAAGCCAGTCTTACAGAGCCGGGCTAGTTTAACCAAACCAGCCAACCAGAAAGATGCTAAAGCTGCGTGTAGCGCTGACCTTACACGCGATTCAAAAGCGTCAATCTTTATAGTCAAATGTTTGAAACAACAGTATAATGAAGGCGTTTACCTAAAATGTTAATATCCAGCCGGCTCTTCGAGATCTGGGCAGGTTCGCACGTATGGCGGCCACTTTCTTCCTACACGGCTTCTATCAAAACAGTCATTCAGGCGCCCCCTACTGGACACGCAGCGCCTCCCAGAGGACTCACTGAGCTTAGTGGATCCTTTAACCACCCAAACCGGCGCTCAGGCGCTTTTTCATTGTTCTGATTCCGAATATGAGAGGCGTCTAACTGACAGATTGGTCTCCTTTAGCTGATTAATGTACACGTTTACTTGGAAAAACAAAAATAAATTATGAAATATGTGTAAATCCTTTTAAACCCACGCTCCGGAAAGTACGTCACGATGTACCGAGAATGAAAATTTACATAAAATTAGATTTAAAAATGTAATGCTACATTTAATTGACTGTATTATTTATTACAACCAAAACATTAATATTTTTTTTCTGAAACATATTAAAAATACGTAAAATAAAAACAAACAATGAAATATATGAAAATTCTGACGTGACGTATCATTTTTTAAGCCCACTAACGCTCACTAACATTCAATATATAGTGATAATATAAAAATATAAAAGATAGTATACATTAAGGCGTAAAATTAAATTGATGCGCATTTTTATTGCTTGCAAATCATTTAATATAACAAACAAAACGTGCCTACATTCTTCACAGTCTGCTCAGAGGAAGCCAACGTAATGTATTTCCCCAGCGACCCTTTGTTTTCTTTGTATTTGTTTTTCTTACTGAATAAATGCAGAGTGCACAGTTTAAATAATGAATCATTTCTCCTCGGACATTTAGGGCGTGTGGGCGCGGTTTTGCCCCATTGGGAGGGGCCTGGAGTGCACGTCAATAAAGCCCACCTGCCCTCTGCAGAAGGAACCTTCCGTCTTCAGCTTATCCTGACTGAGGCGTGTTGTCTACACCGCTGGTAACAGGTAATCAGTGTCTTATGTGAAACAACAGATCAGTTGATCAGCTGAAGTGACTTATTGCGGCTCTGATGCTGCCTGAGATCTGCTGGCTTTTCTTAAACAATCAGATCTGTTCAAAATTTTAGCAGCCTCTGGGCTGTTTAACGTAGAGATGGGACACAGATGGGGATGCAAAAAGCCTATTCAGATCACATTTGTGCTAAAGGGTACCTCGTATAGTATTTATATATTTTTTCCACAGCAAATGAGGTTAATAGCTTTTTTCTTTTCTGCAGCATGGTTTATCATCCTGAGTTTAAGAGTGCTGGGCAGAAGCCTGGACTTCAAGTATGGAGGATTGAGAAAATGGACTTGGTGGCTGTCCCAGAGAATCTGTATGGAAGCTTCTACACAGGAGATACCTACATTGTCCTCAATACCATCAAGCAACGTTTAGGAAGTCTACAGTATGACCTCCACTTCTGGCAGGGTGAGACTGTGACCTGTTATTTGATACACTTATAAAGTTCTTTGTCTCCCTTTTTTTTGATGTGCACTAGGACCTAGACAAAACTGTATGCAAAAGTCTGAACACCCCTGGACAAGGCAGATTATGTGTTGTTGCTTATCTAAGTGAAAATAAGTTAACACATTCTCTACAGAGAGCAGACTTAATTATAGAATTTTTTGGTAGGTTTTAGTGTGCAATTTCTACTTAGTTTTATGTACTGGAAAAATAAAAACATAAAGCATAAAAGGTGCCTTAACTTTTGCACAGGCCACACTTTAATTTTATTTTGCCCAATATGTTAAGCTCAGCAAATAAACAGTAGTTGTGCATAGAAATATGCATTAGTGTGTTCTTTATAGAGGATGGGTTAACTTGTTTTCATTTAGAAAATCAACAGCATGTGATTTGACCACGGGTGCCTAAACTTTTGCATGTCCATACAGTGTGTTTTAACCATCTCCTCTTTTTTGTTCAGGCAGTAGCTGCACAATAGATGAGAGTGCTGCAGCGGCTATTTTTACTGTCCAAATGGATGATCACCTCGGGGGGACACCTGTTCAGTATCGCGAGGTCCAGGGCTATGAATCAAAAACATTTGTGGGCTACTTCAAATCTGGGCTGACGTACATGGTGAGCAGGACTACATGTTTAAGCATAATAACGATTTACATATGGGGGGAGGGGTATCCTGCCAGAGTGAAATGGGCAGGGAAGGGGGAGGGGCTTATGCTATGCACACACCTGGGCTTTTTTTCTGAAGTCACCCAGAAGTTGTAGTGGTTGCAGTTTTTGGGGACTATTTTGTTAGATGGCTGGTGCTGCAAGACAATTACAGTCATATGCAAAGGTTTAGGCCCCTCTGGTCAAATGATGTTTTGCTGATTTTTTTTAGGTGAAAATAATTTAACAAATCTTCTATGGAGAACACTCTTCTGCACATTTTAATGCACAATTGCTGTTTATTTGCTGAATTTAGCATTAAAAAAAGATAGTGTGGCTTGTGCAAAAGTTATGGCACACTTTATTGTTTAATTTCTTTTTTCCAATATGCTAAACTCAGCAAATAAGTAGATATTGTGCATTAAAATGTGCAGAAGTGTGCTCTCTGTAGAGGATGTGTAGACTTATTGTCACTTAGAAAATCAGAGGGTATTCAAACTTTTGTATACGACTGTGTAATTAGAGCTCCAAGGAGCCCTGCTGGTGACATAAAAGTATAAATAGGTACAAATAAAAGTAATGAATGGCCACGACTTAGTAAGGTGTGGGAATGAGATCCTAAAGTTGCATGGCCACAACTTTGTAAGGCATGATCTTATTCCCACACATAGCCACACATTAGGATGTCGTTTTCACGCTTTAATAAGGCGTGGCCATGACTTATCTCGTTCCCACACCTTACTAAGTCATGGCCACGCATTTTTTTTTATTTATATGGGATGTCACCAGCAGGGCTCAGTAAAGCTCTGTAGAATTAAGAAACACAAAATATCAAAAACTCTAATTAAATATTAACTCAAGATTGAAAATTGTCAAACTTATGTGAAAATATGTCTATTGTTACAACCCTAATATGGTACATCCTTTGGACTGTATGTTTCTTTATGGGTGTTATAACTGTCTCTTTTTACCTTAGCAAGGTGGAGTGGCCTCAGGGTTCAGACATGTGGCCTCTGGTGAAGTGGAGATACAAAGAGTCCTCCATGTTACCGGCAGACGAACAGTGAGGGCAACAGAGGTTCCTGTGAGCTGGGACAGCTTCAACCAGGGAGACTGCTTCATTCTAGATCTGGGAGAGGCAAGAGAACATCAGTGTTTCGTGTCAGTCTTGCCTTTCACTGCAAGCTGTTATTGTTTATATGCAAAAATCTTTGATATATTATAGTCATTGTATAATCTGCTATACTGTTACTATGAAATGCCCCAGGAACTATACCAGTGGTGTGGCACCAAGAGCAATCATTTTGAGAGATTGAAAGCCACCAATATTTCAAAAGCTATCCGTGATAATGAGCGGCATGGAAAAGCAAAATTGTACCTATGTGAAGAAGGCTCAGAGCCTGGCAAGATGCTGGAGGTAAGTTTGGACAGAGCAAGCATTCATGTCACCATTTTCCTGTTTATGGGCTAGTTTTCCAGAAATAGACCAATGTCATCTAAAATTAGGCCTTACGTGTCATTGTAAAATAGTTTCATGCTAACTTTTTAGATTATGCACACAAAGCTGCAATAAGCAGTGTATATTGTAATTCTATGTTTATTGAAGGGCTATGTATGTAATACATGTTAGGTATGTATGTATGTACAGTAGTGTGCAGAAGTCAGAGACCACCATTCATTTATTTAATTTCTGGTCAAAATGGCCATAATGCTGGATGAGAGGAGCTCCACTGTTGCTTCAAATATGAAAAAATCCACAGGTATTTCTGTCCATCCTTCCACTCAACACTATAAGTCTGAATGAATGTGTAACTGTCTGAAGCTCTCATTGAGAAAAGGAAATAGACAAAAAAAAACAAACAAGAAAACATTTGCAAGTTAAACAAAAAAGCTGCTGGTGGTCTTAGAACAATGGAATGACCACCACAGAATTCAGACTTCAGCCAACTTCTGAGACTGAACAGAGGTGTGTGGAAAAAATATTGGCTGCATTAAGTAATTGAAAAGTGGTCTTTGAATTTTGCACAGTATTGTTTGTATGTATGTATGTAGCAGCTTGTGACCAAACATAACAAATTCCTAATACATCGTAATATTTATGATCAAACAACAAGAAAGTAAATGTGGATGTTTAATTTTTCTGTTTCTGTGCATTATCCTAAAGCCATTTATGTAAACAGCAATCCTTTTATGACCTCTAAGATTCTTGGACCAAAGCCTGAACTTCCTGACACAGACTGTGATGACACTGAAACTGATGCATCAAATAGGAAAATGGCCAAGTTATACAAGGTAATGCTCAACCACTGCCATTTCTTTATTTGACTTTTTTTGTTTTTTTTAATAAATTCAACTGAAATTGGCGAGAGGGTATAATGCTCTATAAAATCCAACATCAAGGTGTCCGATGCCAGTGGAGACATGTCTATCACTCTGATAGCAGGAGAGAATCCCTTCTCTCAAGATGCACTGGAGTCCACTGACTGCTTTATCTTGGACCATGGCTGCAGTGGAAAGATCTTCTTCTGGAAAGGTCTGTAGTGAACTGTAGTGTATTTGTTAATAACCCCTACCTGTAAATGAGAACATTTTACAGATTAAGCATTAAAACAATCACAGGTAAAGAGGCCAGTCCAGAGGAGAGGAGCGCAGGGATGAAGGCTGCAGAGGAGTTCATCCAGAAGATGGGCTATCCAAAACACACGCAGGTCCAGATCCTGCCTGAAAATGGGGAGACTCCTCTGTTCAAACAGTTCTTCAAGGTTTGGCGTGATGTGGCCCAGACAGAGGGGATGGGGAAAGCCTATGTGCCCAACAAGGTTGCCAGGATTGAGAAAGTGCCCTTTGATGCCTCTACACTGCATGACTCAAGTGCCATGGCTGCTCAGCATGGGATGTTTGACAAAGGGGACGGAGAGAAAAAGGTAAATGTCATATTTAGGAAATGATTAAAACATTAACTTGTATATGTAAACATGTCACCTTTTAAAGGACCCATATCCAACATTTTTCCTTGAGGTCCA